CTCCCTCAGGGCTTGGCTTCAGTTGTGGATGTTACTAAATGCTTCTTAGAAAAAAAAAAAAAGTGAGAGAAATATAGTCTTAAAAGGCTTTTTTTGTTTGCTGGTGGTGTTTTGCTTTTGGGTTGGTTCTTTTATCTTATTTGGAAAGTGGGAGCAACTGCTCATGTCTGAACATGTCAGAGATTTGATGTTTGCATTTGTTGGTCGTGTGCTAACAGAGACTTCTGCCTTCTTTTTCTCTCCCTCTCTTTCAGCAATGGCCCATGAACATGTACATGTTAGACTATGGTGGTCTAAATGTCCAGATCCCAGGACCTATTAACTATTAGACCTCAATACCGAATAAGAACCTCAAATGAAAGAATAAATAAATAAATGTAATTTATGTAAAAAGTGTATATTCCAATATGTATCAATGCCTTTTAGTTTTTCCAATGATTTTTACACTATATTCCTGCCATCAAGGCCTTTTTAAATAAAAATAAAAAGTGTTGCCTTGCTCTTAAAAGTACTTATTTTATTACGTACATAATTGACAAATAGCATCTGTAGGAAGGAGAAGGTGCAGGAGGACACCTCTGTCAGACCGCCTTGTGCTTTGGCTGCTGATTGAAGTCTTTGTGACCAAGAGGTTGGGCTCATTTTGGGGCTTCGTTTGATGTCTTCAGATTGGAAGCAAAGGTAAAAACTCACTGGGAGCTGCAGGAGGAACGGCGTGCTGCCTTCTGACATGGTGAAGCTGTGGGGCTTTGGGCAGCCTGGTCCCCTGGGGGTGTTCCTGCCTATGGAGTGGGTGAGCTTTAAGGTCCCTTCCAACGCAGACCATTCTGTGATTCTCTGATCTGTGATTTCCTGCAGAGCTTTGGTGCCTTATGGGGAGAGGAAAGCTCCAATGGTCCGTTCAGATAGAGCTCTGGTGCTCAACCCATTCCATGGTGCTGGACCAAAAGCTGCAAGTGTTACAGAGAGATGGGGAGAGCTTCCTCTGTGCACCACGAGAACCAAATGAAGCAACCCCATCCATTGAGGGTTGTTATTTGGAATTTCCCCAACTTTACCTCCATTCCACCAGCAGATTTTGGCAGCAGAAGCTGGCATTGCTGGTTGCTGTTATCACTGCAGGTATTTAATGTGGGTTTTTGGGTGCTGAGAGCTGTGCTCGAGTGACACAATGGCAGCAAGTGCATGGCCATGTAAAGAGTCAGTGAGCAGAATGGTTTCCGTGCCCACATTCCTGCTTTCAGCTGCCACCTTCAGGCAGAGGTGGCATTGGTCACAGGCATCAAAGTCACTCACAGTGGCTTTTCTGAGTGTAACAGGCTGCTCTGTTGGCTTTATGAGTCCTCTCTGGATGTGCACAAATCCGTCTCCATGCTGGCAGAGGGTTCTGAGCAGAGGCAGAGCTGTTCCAAACGGCTGCAATTTTATTTCCTCATCCTCGACTTGCTGTGGAGTTGGATGCAAATGATGGCACGAGATAATAAAAGCCTAAACAAATGCAGCAGAAGGCACGAGGCTGGCAGCTGGAAGAAGGGCAAAGATCTGTACCCATGACCCCAATTAGATGTGCAGTTTGACATCTGATCAGTTGGCATCAAAATCTGAAGTCTTTCATGTTTCTGCCTGGTGCTGAAACCCCATGGCATCTCCAATTAGGAAACAAAAAGAAAAATGCTTTAGAGGTTAAAAAAAAAAAATACACTTTCTGTCTTCTAAAATGTCTGAAAGGGGTTCGCTCACAGATCAAACCACCCTGAGGAGGTGTCTCCTGGGAGAGCACGTTCATTATATCTTGACTTCTCTTATTTTTTGCAGTGTAAAGGCCTGGTTCTGGAACACCGGGGGCGGCACTGAGGCTGGGTAATGAGCGAGGTTCCAAGCAATGGGCAGGCAGGGATCCCAGCACTGAGCCAAATCAGGGCACTGAGCTGCACTGGGGACTCATGACTCTGTTCAGAGAGCTGAGTGCATTCCTAAAGGCTAGAGAAGTGGGGGAAAAGGGAGGTGAGGGGGAGCCAGCAGGGCTGTTTCCACTCTTGGCTGCCTCATTTCCCCAAGTGGGTGCATGAGGGTCATTCTGGACCCAAATCCAGGTGCAGTAACTGCTCTGGACATGGCTTAATTCAAAGATTCCCCATGCCCCTGAGCTCTGCAGCCAGCTGGCACCAGGCTGGGGTTTGGAGATGCTGCAATCTTGTCACAGTTTTGAGGAGTGATGAGCAGCAATTCCTGCTGCACTTGCACGCTACCCTATTCCCCCAAACTCCAGATCTTGCTTTATTGCTGCTTTCCCTTAGCTGCAATTTTGCATCTTCCCTAGTCTTGGTCTTTTAGCACAGGATATTTTTATACACAGTTTTTGTGTGCAACGTGATTTTCTGCTGAATGGGATGCACTCTGTCACAATTAGAAGATGGAGATCTTAACACTTGAGCCATGTTCCTCATTTATTACTTTTCAAAGACTTTGGTGGTGGTTTTTTTTGTTGCTGTAGTCTCTGTGTTTACAAATCCAATAACAATCCTCATTAAGAGTTGCAAAACATGAAGCCATTTTGATCCCAGGCAGATGGCAGCTAAATGAAGTTTAATTAAAGAATGAGCGCTTTGATTCAAATCATTTTTAAAAAATATAGTGCACGGAGATGCTGGAGAGCAGCATAAACAGCATCTGTGCTGCATTCAGAGCCCCGAATCCATTTGCAAGGAAACATTTTGGGAAAAAAAATATGCAGGGAAATGGTAAGTTTGTTGGCTGGGTTTAGGGGTTAGCACTGCGTATTTGGGGAAAGGGCTGGGATGTGAATCTCCTCCAGGCTGAACACTCACAGCCCCCAGAGCCTTGCTCCATAGGAGAGATGCTCCAACCCTCTGAGCATCCTTGTGGCCCCCTCTGGACCCATGCTGGGCAGCTCCATGGCTTTGCCATTTTGCTATTGGCAAAATTGGATGAATGGATGCTCCCTCCTCAAGGATCGGGAGACATTTCAGCTAATTCCAAAGAATGCTATGGAATGTTTGTGTGGGCTCATAGGGAGGCTGGAGAAGTTTGGAAGCAGGAACTGCTGAGTGCTGAGCACTCAAGCTGGCAAAGCTCATCATGGGCAGGAACCTCCTGAAGGTAGCTGGGATCTGGGTGAGCACCAGGGGAAGGCATCACCTGTGCTTGACTCCAGACACACAGTTCTGAGGATGTGCAGATCCACTTGGCTGTCCTGTTCCTGGGGGTCTGGAAGAGCAAGGAGGAGTGCAGGTAGCCTGTGGGAGGAGACGATGGTTCCTTGGTCGTGTCTCTTGGCTCTGGCTTGGTGCTGGTCTTGCTCAACCCAGTCTGGTCCTGTTCTCTTGGATGAATACCAAGGGATCAGCCACTGACAAGGGGCTGCTGTGCTGCAGCACAGCCTGGCACAGGGAAACCCTGAAGACCTGTAGTCCATTGGCTTGTGATGACAACTTCTGTCCTGCTTCAGAGCTTCTTCCAAAACAGGCTTTTCCCTTATATCCAACTTCGAATCAAACGGAAGAGGAGAATGAAAAGATGATGGCACTTCCACTGCTTTGCCATGGGATGGCACAGGTTTCTGTCCTACAGATATGAGCTGGATGGTGCTGGTGTCAGTCTGTGCGAGCTGGCTGCAGGCTCTGTCTCCAGGCCAAAGGCACTGCAGGGCAAATGGGTGGGACCTGGAGCACCCTGGGATCAGCATCCCTGCTGAATGCCCCAGGGCACAGCAGCAAAGTATGGAGGAAAATAATGCTATTACTGTGCAAGTAACTGTACTTACCATGTGCATCGAGTTCCAAGTGAAAACAGGATGTCCTTACTTACTATTTAACAGAGAAAAAGCTCAGCGAAGGAAAACTGCAAAGGAATCGAGCCAACAGGAGCACATCCATGTGCTGTTCTGGTCCTCCAGTAGTGTTCTCAAGTGCAAAGGGTTCTTCGCTGTTCCTGGCTTTGGAACTGAAATTAAAATAGCTCGTAGTCTGGGAGAAGAAAAGACATCCCATCTAGGTACAGCTGGAGCACTGCTCAATAGGCAGCCCAGAGCCCTGGGCTCTAGGCTCTGGTCTGTGTCTGACACTGAGCTTCTGCACAGAGTATAAAAGATAAGGGAATGCCACACAATTCAGCATCAGGACTGTTCCTGTAGGGCCTGGGGCTTCCCCCTGCTCCCCATCACCCTGCCACCAGCTCTTCAGCACTCATTGGTTTCACACACTGAGGTTCTCGCTCTCAGATGTTAGATATTTAGGCGTAATTTGTCAAGAATACTTAGATTTTCCCATGGATACTTCAAATGGGAGTCAAGTGAAACACCTTACTTACGTGCTTAGCTGGAGGTGACATTTGTAACTCATGCACATCTTGGAGCAAAGTTTTGTGACATAGCCTAAAACCTTTGAGTGTTAAAGAGAATAATATGTGTTTCTGGAGATGAAACAGAAGTAATGAGTCAGAAGAAATAAGTACGGATTGGTCTCATTTTGTTTCCAGGAGGAGACTATGTGCTGAAGATGGAATTTCTCTGTTTTAACGATGACAAAAACGACTCTGAATTCTCCTCTCCACAGCAACTCCGGTGTTACAGCATGAAGAGAAATGCTTTTCTTGCCTGGTGTGAACACCTCATTCAGCCTGCAGCCGATGCTCATCTGGTTGACAAGCAGAGGGGAAAGCAAAGGGACACGAGGAATTTAGGTCCCAAACTGAAGGACCTGTGCAACCGGCCGGACAGGAAATGGCGACCGGACCCCCTCACGCAGGATGCCCCTCCAAGGCCACCACTGCCCCCGCGCTCCCTCCCTGGGATTCGCGCCGCTCCGCCCCGCGCGGGGCACGATGGGAGTTATAGTTGGCCGCGTTACACACTGCGCGCTGTGGAGAGGTGCGGCCGCAGGGGAGCGGACTACATATCCCAGCAGCCCCTGCGAGGCGCGCGCATGCGCAGTGGTACATCGGTGAACAAAAACCTCCCCCTCCACTCCCCTCCCCGTGAGCGGCGCTGTGCTCAGCCCGAGACCGCGAGGGGAGCAGCGGGGCTTCTGGGCCCGTCCCAGCGCCGAGAGGTTGCTTTAAGTGGCCGCCGCCACTGCCCGCCGTTCCCCTCAGCCTCCACAGCCAGCGGTGAGCGGCGGGGTGGGATCGGACCTTGTGGGTGCGATGCGGGGATAGAAGGCGGGAGAGAACCGCTGTTCCCCGGCACCCTGAGGGGGAGGGAGGGCAGCGGGGACCCTCGTGCTGTGGGCTGGGAGAGGCCCCAGGCCCGGCTCTGGGGGTGGGGGGGGCTTATTTTCCTCCGCGGGTGGAGGCGGAGCTCCGCATTCTGCCCGCCCCACGGAATCCAGGTGTGGGGACAGAAGGAGGCGGGCACCACTGTGTTGCCGCCGCCTGCTATTGGCTGGCTCCGGGGGCGCGTTTACCGAGAAGCGGTCGCGATTGGGTGCAGGAGGAGAGGGGCGTGGTCTGTATGCAACTAATGTAGGGTGAGGCCCCATGGGCTCCTGGGATGGGGCCGTGAGGGCGGGGGGGGGCTCCTGAATCTGCAGTGCAGGGATGGAGCTCCGTGCTGACAGCTTCTGTGCTGCTCCGTGGGTAATGCACTTGTTTTGTATACCTGCCTCGTGAGCAGTGTGGTTGGATGCTGTTTTTTCATTTTATCTAAAACTTTGTCAGTGTACGTTGGTCCAGAAATAGTGAGGTTTGAATTAAGTATTGCTTTGCTAGCAGACTTGAGAGTGAAAGGAATCAGAGATGTTCTTAAAGTAGCCAACGTTGGGATTGTTTTGTCTCTTTAAGTGGTCTTTAATAGTAGTAGAGGTAAAAGGGCATTGCATCTTCCTGAGCATCACAGATCTGCCTGCACCCCTGCAGGGTTTCTGTGCTCCATTAGCTAAGGCACGTCAGGATTAATGTTTTCTGAATCAAACTGAGGGAGAAAAATAGAGCTTGCTTGCTTGCTTGATTGATTCAGTATGAATCGTCAAAAAGATTTGCTTGTACTTAACAGCTGTGCATTCTAATCTGTGCAGTTCTGATACGGTGCCTTCTGTCTGAAGGCTGATGTTTGGGTGCAATTAAACATACCTTCACCCTGAAGGCAGAGTAGCTAAGGGTCGAGACCAGTAACAGCCAGGCAGCAGTCTGCCTTCCAGGTAGAGCACCCATTATAAATCTATGTTCCTTCTTATTCCAACTTGGTAAGGCAACAGGTGCTCAGCTAGAATGGTATTTCTTATGGAAGGGCCCCTGCTGGGCTGCTTTTCCCTGGGAGTAGCAGATCTACAGCAATGTGCAAGGCTGAGTGCAGGCACGCTTGCAGCAGCTGCTGTATTTTGGAATTCTTGGTTACAAGTCTTTCCATCTGTATAGTAGGGTTGGTTTTAGTGTTTTTAGTGCTGCGTGGTCGGTTTGCTGCTTTGGCACTGTGTGAGACTGATGAGGAATTTGGCTTGTGCTGCTTCAGACAGCCTGAGCAGGAAGAGCTGCAAGAGGGGAGATAGGAGAGAAGTGAACCTGCAGAAGCAGAGCAGAGAACTGCTTTTCTCTGCTTCCTCTTATGGATGACATCTGTTTCTTCCTATGGCTGAAAAACTTCAGCTTGAGGAAAAACATCTGTTTGAGCACAAAAGAAAGTAAAGCAGCAACGGATTGAGGATGAGGGGTCCATCACTCCAGAGACCCTTATTGGAAACTCCAGATCTTCTGGCTCCAGAGCTGCCTTCCCAAGGACAGTTTGGGACCTCCTGGACAATAGGAAAGTGAGCACCTTGATCAGCCCTCCACCCACAGATCACCACCCCAGACTCAGGACAGTGCTGGACCAGAGAGTGGTGCAATGTCTGTTTTCTGTCTTTGGCTCTTTCCCTTCATCTGTTTTCTCTTGACTTTTTTTTACATATCTTTCTTTAGTAGCTGTTGCTTACATTTCTCTTAAAGTAGTTGATAGGAATACATGTGCTTAAGTATTCTTTATCCTGAATGCTTACTAGTTGTTGGAAATCTGTCTAATTTTGCCTTGAAGTAGTTAGATAAATAGTGCTACTCTGGCAGCTAGCTACTAACTGTTGGAAGAATGGCTTCTAGATGGGCCTTTTTGTGCAGCACACTGATGACAAGTCGGGATATTCCCCGAAGCTTTGCATGAGGGGACTGTGCAGAGCAGTGGTGTTGTCACAGAACCTGAGCTGCTGGCATTTCTGCGTTTCATTTCAGATACCCTCCGGTAGCTGCAGACTGTTGCTGCCAATTTACCCATAGCAGCTTTAAAGCTGTTCAAACCTTGCAGACCTGCCTGGACCGTCAGAAGGCGTCTGGGTGTCTGTTGTGTTTGCACTGTCGATGCTGCAAGTTTGTTTTCCCCACCTTACTCTGTGTTTGGAGGTTTTGGGGGGTGATTTCTTGAAGACTCACATGTGGAGCTGTAATAACAACGCCTCTCCCAGTTCTCCCCACCTGCAGGCATGTCAGGTTGTTGCATTAGGTTTGTGTGAACATAACATCAGTTGCAACATCCAGCAAAAAAAATGTGCTCTTGGCAGCTGTTCTTGGTATAGTCATCCTTCTCTGGTGGCAGTTCTGCCAACATAAGCGTGAACAACTCCTGGTTATTATGTCTTTAAGTTGAAAGTCGGTTACGATGCACATAAAACAGGGTTTAATCCTATTGTTGTCACTTCTGAAATGCAGCTTTTAATTTGAGCACCTTAATTGGCAATTCTTAGCTTGGAAATTAATCCTGCAGCTGTTTAATATGCAGATAAGAATGTCGGGCTCTGGTTGCTGACACTGGAGTCTCAGGCCACGATGTGGGATGGCTGTAGTGGTGGTGTTTATTTGAGTGATACCCTAATGAACTTATACTGAGAATTATAGGGCATGTTGCTCTAACACCAGTGTCAAGAGAGTTTTGTCATTCTGTTAATGCTTGTCTTTTTCTGCTGTGCCTCTTCAGGCTATTGCAGATACAAGCATGCACAAAAAGAAAAATCAGTATAAATGCAGCTAATCGATTAATATGCATCTCTCTGGGTGTTTTGTCTAGACATGGAACAGCATTTTAACTTTCAAGCAGCAGGAGGTATGCAGGAACAAAACAGTGAACAATTTATTCTGTTGCTGCACCTGCATATTTGCTCACGTGGGGGTATTCAGGATTTTTGAGTACATGTATCTGTAGGTAGATATTCCTGCACTGTTGCATGTAGCTGAACAGGCTTTTTATTTGATGTTCCAGGAAGAGAATGGCCCAAGCTACGGTAGCAGCAACGTCCATGCATGATGAAGACCCATCTGAAAGCAGGATGGTGGTCACGTTCCTCGTGTCAGCGCTGGAGTCCATGGTGAGTGGCTGTCAAAGCTCTCTGGGCACATGCAGTGCTACAGCAATACCTTGCCTCCCTCCAGGGAGCTGGTGTGTGCTGTGCTGTCTGTACCTTGGTGTGTGCTCTCCGACTATTGTGACTGTGTGCTTATGGAAATTCATGCTAACAGCCTTCCTTTTTGCTTTGTGGTGGTGTTAGCAATGAAGTTTTGAATATAATGATTATAAGGCAATTGGTTTCAAAGCCAAGGGTTGTGTTCAGTTCCTAAGGGCTTTGTTGCTTCACATCATGCAGCAACTATTTATGTCACCCTGGTCTCCTGAGTTACTAAGGATAGTTAACCTTTTGTGGTCACTTCTAGATGATCTCACTGACTTGGGAACTTCCTGCCTCCATACTCTGCAAGTTTTCTTTTTTTTTTTTTTGACTCCCTTGCCTGGAATTGCTCCCAGCAGAGCACACCTACACCTTCACAGGCAGGCTGCCATCCTTCCCCTTCTCAGGAGGAATCCACACAGATCCACACAGAGCACAGCTGTCAGGACAGGGCAGGCTACAGGAAGCCTTCCTGTTTCCAGCCACGCTTTTCCAAACAACACTGTTTGTGTTAAGTGTGCTGTGGAAGGGCAAAATTCTCGCTAGGACAACACCATTATCTAATTGAAATCTAATTGAAATGATAATTTCCAAAGGATAGATTGAATAAATCATTTTAATTAAAAGCAGTTCAACTTCTCAGTCTAGATGAGACCTCAATTTCACTAATGCATCTATAGTGCTTTTAAGGTTTCTCATCAAAAGAATTCCAGATACATAAACTATCCTTTGCTACTGACTGACATTATGTAACTCACGGTATCTTTTAAGGAGAGGATGCTGGCAGCAGAAGCAGTAACTGCTTTAAGTGATTCTGCATACATTTCTATAGAATGTACATTTAACAAGGACAATAAATGCTTTTCTGTTTCTTTTCATAGTGTAAAGAACTTGCCAAGTCCAAGGCAGAAGTTGCCTGCATCGCTGTCTATGAAACAGACGTCTTTGTAGTTGGAACTGAGAGGGGAAGAGCCTTTGTTGATTCCAGGAAAGATTTTCAGAAGGATTTTGTTAAATACTGTAAGTTTCAACATTCTTTTTTTCGTTTTGTATTTCACTCAAGCTGCTTAGTGTATATTGCAAAATACTAGTATCCTTTGAGAGCAAAATCCTGTATATCGTGGCTGCATTCTGTATGCTGCTCTGAAGTTACAGCTGCATTACTTTTGTACCCCTTCACATCTGTGGGAGTGTTTTTTGTTTCTATTAATTTTCATAGTGGAACTTGTGTGATTATAAAACGTGATTCATTGTGTACAGAGCAGTGTTTTAAGAGTGGGCTCTCAAAGATGCAGTGATTCTTTGTGGAGGGTTTACATGCGTGTATAGGAAAACACTGCTGATGGTCAGTGCTTAGCCAGTAATGCAGAGTGCCTTTATCTGCCTGAGGGAGGGAGAAGATGAAGGTCAAGAGCAGGATGTGAGAGAAAAACCAGTCTGCAGGAATTTTAAAACAACAGCTGTAAGATATGCTGGCTTGACTAATTAAACACTGTGTGCAATGCAGCCATGTTTAATCTGTAACAGAAAGATTCGCTCCTAAAAATGCTTTTGCTGCTAGTTAAAACTCTGAAGATCCAGATTCTCTGGTAAGAGTCTGGATTTGTCCACTGCTGTGCTGTGGGACAGTGACTTTCTGCAGGCGTAAGTGTATTTACTCTAAGAAAACCACTGTAATGTGGGGCTGTAACATGATATCAAAATGCAGAGTGATGACCTCAGTGAGGAATTGAGGATCAGATAAATCCATTTCTCCTCTTCATAATTTCTGCAGGGGCAGGGTTTTTATACTGGTATTTATGAAAACTATTAGCTGAATAATTGGAGGATGTTCAGCTTTTCACCTGACCTGCTGTTAAAGGATTTCCCTGTGAACCCAAATACTTTGTTTGCTAACCCAGTGGTACAGGCAGAACAGTGGTATTGCATGCCCAGGTAGAATGCTGTGGGCTTTGTCTGCAGTGTGTGTTGGTATGGGATCTACAGTAACTGGGTCTGTTTGATCTCCCTGGCTAGGTCTGTGCTTTTGGTTCTGGACCATGGCAAGCACTGGTTTTCCTTCTGTGCTGGTTGAACTGTATCAGTTAAGATTTCTGTAGATGTGCATATGTTTATTCAAATCTTATGTCAGTTCTCTTAATCCTGACCATTTGTTTTGTTCCAGTTATAAATTATACTGTCTATGAATATCTTTTTCATACTGTCAGATATGATTAAACAATATCTACAATGAAAACAGTATTTTCCTTATGCTTCCTCCGGAGCATCATGGGGTAGATCTGTGTGAATGAAGCCACCCAAATCTCAGTCTATATTCATGGGTTAGGTGTGAAGGAAGGAAGAAGCTCCATAAGGATCTTGTTGTACCTTAAGGTAACAACCTTAAGAAAAAATTGATGGGAACATGTTAGAGCATTGCTTTTTTAATGTTGATGTGTGTTGTGTGCTGAATGTTGAAAAGGCATTAATTATTTAAATTGGAGTCAGATAATAGACTCTTCTGAACTGTGCTTAATTAAGATGGCTGCAAGCTCTGTGTTACAGTGAAATGGTTTGTTATGCCTTGTAGTGTGGAACTCTGTGCTTCCATACATGATCTGCAACTCAGGTAACCTGCATCATCAGTTCTTCTAAGCCTGTGTGAGTTTCCGCTCTACATAAAAAGGAGCATATGAGAGGCACTCAAATATCATACAGAGTATGGGCAAGCCATGGGTATGGAAGCAGTGCAGATAATCTACCTCTTATTCTACCAGTACCTCTAGCTGTTCCCTACTGAAATGAATTGCACAGTTCCTCATGGATGGCCTGTGGTGAGATGAAATGCCTCCTTGCTCTCTGGGTTATCAGCCATTCTGAACAGGAGATGGAAGGCTGGGATGTCTTGAGGATGACATTCCCTTCATCTAGCCACCTTGACAGTTTCTCTTGAGGTTTGCTATTGATTCTGTGGAATTCATCCTCATGCACACACAAAAGGGCAGTAGAAGAGGCCTTAGCTCATCCCTGAGCTGACTTTGCCAGTCAGAAGTAAACTTTCAGAAGAGCTTGTTGGCTCAGAAGTGCCTTTTTGATCACCTGCTCTGCACTTTGAGCAGGATTAGAAAGCACCGTGTATCCAGCCCTCACCCAGATGCTGAGTGTTTGCCAAGAGTCCTGGTGACCTGTCCTTGAACATCCACTGGTGCCAGCTGTGGCACCCGCAGTACATGGGCTGTGTGGAAGTACAATCCTGCTACTTCTGTGGCTTTCTGTCAGCTCTCAGTGTTGATACTTGTTCATTCATTGGTGCTAGGGCTTTGGGATTGCATCTGTGGACTGCTCATCCTGAATGGTAAGCACTGGATTCTTAGAAGCCTTCTTTTTCCTTCTAGTGGTCTCAGGATTCTCTGCTGATCTTAGAAATACATCTAGCCAGAGTTCTGCTTTAAGTCCTGGAGGGACTTTGGCTGAAACTCTTTCACTCTTCTTACCTGTGCTTCCGTGTTCATCTAGCCATGGGTTGCAAGGGCTCCTTGTAGCTTCAGGAGTGATCAGAATTTCTGTTTTAAATGAGTACTGCTGTTCCTCCTACTCGTGATGAATGAATGTCACGCAGTGTTCCAGAGACTTCACAAGAAAGATAGCTCAGCTTTGACTCACCAGTATCTTTGGTATGTGGATTACTGTTGAATATCTTCAATATCCTCCAAATTTTGCAGGCAAGTAAAATGACTTGTCCCATAAATAAAGTTATTGTGGAGCAGCCTGAAGATCTGTGGCTGGGTGTCTGCCTCATTGCACCCCTCTGGTCTCTGAGAATGCGTTAGGCTTTGCAGGGAGTTTTTTCCTCTTGTCAGCAATAAGGAAAAATAAGGTAAACAGAACCATGAAAGGCTGCATCTTACCATCTCTTCAAAAAACAGAAGGAAGTACTTTCAAGTCTCCAGCTGTTGGACTTTGTGGTATTGGCTGTAATTTCCGTCTGAGTAACTGAATTTAACATTTCTGGGCCATATAGTAAGCTCTGTATTCTATGGGGAATTAAGCATCCATGGCTTAAGTTAAACGATGCCTTGGGTCTTACAATAATAGTTGCTGGCTTCCTAGTTTGTAACAGCAATTTTAAGTATGCAGTGACTGTTCTCAGTACTGAGTTTGGCTTCCACAGGAGCTGCTGTTTGCTGTGCAGGGTCTCTCCTCCATAGAGAATGAGTGCTTTGACTTTGCGTCTAGTGCACAAAAACACTGATGTTTTGATCCTGGGCATCCTTTCATCTTCAAGGATTGCAGGCTGGATTCTGAGTGTCAGTTTGCATACAACACCTACACTGGAGAGCATGGGTCTACTTCATCCCTAATTGTTCATCCCCGTGGGCTGGAGGATACCTGTGTAAGATGAAAGCAAATCTATTTTACCTTGACCTTGCCTTCCTTGCAGTGTCTTCCTAACTATATAAAGAGATGCAGCTCATTTCATCTGTCTGCCCTGTGTGTTTAAGCAGCAGGACTTGGCTAGGCTGGGCGCTGCCTGTACTGGACACCAGAAATGGAAGGTTTTGTGACTCTTCTCAGTTTTCCCCTCTTTTCTCAATTTCCCAACCTGTTTTTAAGAGTTCTCAGTAAATTTTACTCTTGCAGTTCTGTGTGACATTGCTTGTTGCATCACAGCAATTGCAGCTATTCCTGATACTGGCAGTAAAAAAGCAGTGCTAGCAGCAGAGTCAGATTTACAAAGCAGCTTAACTGCCTAGAAAATCTGGAGTGGTGCTTTTGAGAGCCTCTGTGCCATCTACCTGTAGGCCTCCAAATAGCCCTTATATCAGTGTTTTTTTTTTTCTTTGCAGCTGATGATATTCAAAAAAGACAAATTGGTTTTTTTGTTTGTTTTTGTTCTTTTTTAAATCAAGCTCAGTCAAGCATCTTTCACTTTCTAATGGATGAAGCTATTTACACGTTTGATCCATTTGTATTATATGTATGCTGTGCTGGATAGACTGCTCTTTTGCAGGCCTGAGAGCATCATGCTCTTGTGTTTAGAGGATGACAGGTTGGAGTCAACAGCAGTGTGGATATCTTCTTAACTCAGTAGTTCTGGGTTAATTTCAGTCTTGTGCTTAAAAATCTTTACATCTCCAGAGAGTTCCTGGTACAGCAACTTGCTGTACTGCTACCCTGGGCACGTGCCTTCTGTAGTGCTTGGTGTGGATGCTTCAGCTATGGTGTAAACCAGGTATTCATACAGCAGCCTTGCTGCTTCCTTATGATCCTGATCACTTCTGACTGTATTCCTACTGTGTATTTCTTGCTTGTAATGCCTGTGTGAATTCAGAAATAGCTTCTAAATGGAATGGTTTGCTCTTCAGCCACTAAGCAGAATGTATCTGATCTGAAGTGCAGGCTGCATTCCCTGACACGTATGGTAAGAGCTGAATACATTTTTCAGCCTTACTCTAACAAGAGAGATTACCAGTGGCTCTAGCTGCTCCTGATCATGTTCCATTTGTCTTAGTTACAGTATCTAAAGGGCAGACTTCCTCTTTGTGCCAGGGCAAATGTGAGGATACCACTCTGTAACTAGCTGACATCTTTGTGTTGCTGGGAGGGTGATCCCTTGACACTAATGCAGCTAGTTGAAAAATGCCACTTCTTCTTTGATGGTGATGTGTCAATGGGAAAACTGGTTTCCCACAGTCATTTTCTTTGGCCCTGAGCTGTTCTGTGGTCAGCTGTGACTTCCGTGGCTTTTGCTGCTCTTGAAGATGCAGAATGTTTAAGCAGAGAGGGGATTTGTTAAATTGTAGGCTTAAATAGTAAGGGAAAGAAAAACAGTGAGAGACAGGTGGAGGATTAACCCTGACAGCACACTTGTGGAGGTGCATACGTGCCATCTCTAATCCATTCCCTACTATGAATGCATATTTTTGGGCTGTGTCTACTACAATTCTCACCTTAGATTTGGTGCACTCTGAAGAACACATAGAAGCAGAGCACGATTGGATTGGTTGCATTCTTCAATCTGTAATTAGCAGGATGCTTTCCGACTGCCAAGCCAGAGCTGTTGAACCTCTGTAGGTCTCAACCTCTTGTTTGTTGTTTTTTTAATTCCAGATTCCCTTTTCACTGTCTGGGAGTGGCCTTTGCTGAAGGCTTGTTCTGTTTAAGTATGTGTTGGAACAGGCAATCTCCAGTCAGTCTTAATGGGAGCTTCCTCAGTTGTGGCTCTTGGTTATATCCTTGAGTTTTCAATGTTTTGGTTTTTTTTCTTCCCTCCTTGCAGCAGATGACATGGAATAATTGGCATTTCTGCAAATGGCAAGATGAGAAGAGGCTGACAGCTGTTTGTGGCTGTGCTGACAGTAGCCTGTCACCATTTCCCAGACCAAGCATGCTGGCTGCCATCACATGTTTACTCCTGTCACTGGGGAGTTAGGGCCTTGGTGCCCTGCTGGTGGAAGGGATCACATGAACACTTCCTTGTCCATTTCATATTATGTGAGCCAGGTTGTATCATGCCTCATTAGTGATGCATTATGCTAACCTGGCTGGCTCTGCCTGGAGTTAATTAGGGAATAGTTTCATAATTGTTTTGTACAAAAGGTGTGGGCATGGTAACTGCTTTGTCTTACCTGCTTTCTTGCTCTTCCCTTCTCTTGCTGCTTCCAGCACCCTGAGCTTCTGCAGTTCCTCTTTGGTGATTACATCACATTCTGTTTATCAGAAGCACTAGTTTGCATTGTGCACTTGTTTTTACTCCCACCCTATTTTTGGGCAGTTATAACTGCTTGACAGAACAAGCAGAACTGTGTTCGTTCTTTGAATTAAGTCTTTGGAATTCCATCACTTCCAAGTCTGTATTTAGCCTGTGGTGTGAGTTAAAGCATCTCCCTTTAAAGACTTGATCAGTATGTTCACAATAAATCATGGTTACAGTTGAGTTTAAATAAAGATAATATTCCTTTCTAGCGCTTACTGAACAGTTGCAAGAAGTAACAATAAAATCCAAAGCAATCATCAACTGAGTGCTGCTTTCCTGCCATCGTTCTCTCCATTTGAGATCACTCAGTGGGTTTTGGCTTACCAGTCCCCTTCTGTCTCACCTTGTGAAACACACAGTGCAGTTCTTGGGCTGTCTTATGCTGCACTTTTCTTAATCACTGATGTGTTCGCTAGGTGAACTCCACATCAATAATCCATGTCATGCTGTTTCAGCCTTACCTCGTGGCCTGTTAGATCCTTTTACCTTTGTCCTTAACTGTGATTCTCTTCCCCCTCTTTTTTTTTTCCCCCCTCCAACTTCCCAAGTTGGTACAGGGGCTCCAGCTGAAGTGGCTGATGATCTGTCCTGGCTAGCCATGCCTTTTTCTGTATCTCCTTTGTAGCCTTTTCACACACACACACAGCATCAGGGGTGAGTTACTCTGTTTTTGCTAAGTTTTACTTCTCAGTCAGTTCGCTTAGATTTAAGAATTAGTTGATGCCTTTTTACAACTTCTCAAAATGGAGGAAAAAAAAAAAAAGAATACCTTTAAAAGAACTTCTGAAAATGCAACGTGTGTGTGATTGTATAAGAATTTTGAAAGATCTCTCAGAATTTTCTGCCTGCCTTCCTCAGGGATGATTCCCTTGCTTCCACTGCTCTCTGCCCTGAATATGTGGATGTGTTGGGAACAGAGGCTCTTGCAGGCTTTGTGCCAGCCCAGTCACCTTCTTTTTGCAGCACTGCCGATGTTAGCCAGCCTGCACTGTTCCGGGTTGGTTTAGGATGTGGTGAGCTCTTTTGAATCCTTATTAGGGCTGGTTTCCTTGGCAGGAACCTTTCGTTCTTCTGTCTCTGCCTCACCAGTTAAGGTTTATTAAGCTAATGAGTACTTCAACAAAAAAGAATGCCAATAACAATGACAAAAAGTAAAATTAAAGAAAGAAAAAAACCACCTGCTCAGAGAGTTAAGCCTCATCTCACTGCAGCCTACCCGTTTTCTTCCCTGTAGTTGCAGAGTTGCCATCAGTAGCACTTCAAATACCCACCTCCTCAGTGTCTGCCTCAGGTGATCTTCTCTTTGACAATCATTACATTATTTTTCTTTAGAGCTGTTGTCCAATAGAAAAGCTTAGGGCTGAATTAGATGGGCAAAGCCAAGCAAAAGTGTGAATGCTTTCCCTCTGATTGATTGTAGTCACTTTTGGATAATAGTTTTCCTTAAGCACAAAGGATGAAAAGCGTGTCCCATGTTGCTGCAATGGAGTTGCTGGCCTTACTGTGCCTCTCAGTGTCTGCACATGGTGACATTGGTACTCCTACAATCATTTCCTGATTTACTGTACCTGGGGGAATGCCAACATTTTGTTGCAGGATGCCTTGCCTACCATGGGCCCAATGCCCCTTTTGCTAGAGGAGTGTCAAACAGTGAATCCCACCTCCTTCTCTCTCGTTGTTTGCACATCATCTCCTCTTTGACTTCAATTAAATTGTTGATCTGCTAAAGCTTGATTTTTCTTTTTTAGGTGGATTGTAGGCAGCACTCTCTCTGTTACTTGGCTGCAGCACAGCTCTGCTCGGTAAAGAACTGCAGCCTGCAGCAGTGTTCCCTTCCTTGCAGTCTGGTGCTTGAATGCAGATATGCTTTGTGGCCTATTTTTGTCTGCAATCAGAGAACATGCTTTGGTGGACCTTCAGAGCAGATGTTGTGTAACACTGCTGAGCTGTGCTGCTCATCAGTTTATAAGCATCACAGCTCTTGTTTAGAGAAGGAAGCTGCAGTGTTGACCTGCACAGAGGCCAGGCTGTAGATGCTGAGCTGCTCTGAAGCAACAAGAAAAAAAAAAACTACCAAACTGAAATTCCATCATTCTGAGTCAAAAACAACCAAAATGTTTGGAGGGCTTTTCTTTCAAAGCAACCTGTCCAGCCCTTATAGAAAGATGATTGTTTTCATCATGAGGATGGAGACAACTGTGTGCTGCTTGGGTGATTGCTCTGCCTCCCACTGTGCTCAGGGCAAGAAGGTGGTTCTGAGAAACCGAAACAGCTAGGTAAGGCAGGAAGATAAAGGATGCTTGACCATACAGGTGCTCAGTGGAAGGTGAGAGTTGCTGAAGGTAGCTTGCTTGTAACCCTACTGAGCACAGGTTGGCTTTAGCAGAGTATCTGTGCTAATCTTGCTGTGTGCTCCCAGCTGTAGAGAACACAGCTCTTCCACCACCTTACCTTCCCACCCTTACTGGGCCTAATGAGGGCTTTTTTTAGGTGACAAATGCCTTTTTTTAGTGCGAGTGTTTCTTCTCAGCTTGTTTCACAGCCATCTATAAGCAGTTGTTCAATCTGATGTTTGCTTTCTTGTGTTAGCCACGTTACCACTCTAGCAGTATTGGTGTGAATTGCAGTGTTTATGTTCTTGTTCACAGTGAAATCATGATGCAGTTTTGACACTGATTGTCCTGTTACTCATAGGAATGTAGTTCTTTCTTGTGTTTTCTTTCATCTGTAGAAAAAAAAAATATTGTTTTCCCCCATTTTTTTTCATGGGTGATTCTCAGTAAAACTACAGTAACAGAAAGGAAAGGCTGCTCCTGAAAATAGATCACTTCTGTTCGCTGCTTATGATCGAAATAGAATAAGGTTTAGGACTGAAATACTCTTTTCATTTGTTCCCCTGTTCAGCAACAGATGTACTTCAGTGTCTTTTAAAAGGTGAAGAAGCCACGCAAGGTAGGAGCTGTGTCCTATAACAGGATACAGCATCTGCTGAATGAGACATCAGGTGTAGTGCCAGAGACAGAGGTTTTAGTATTTTCCTGTGTAGTGTTCCTACCCTTTCTTCCTTTTGCCTTTGGCATTTAATTTCTACTGTATCTTTCTCTACTGGGATTAGTGGTGTTTTCTACATCTGCATGCAAAGAGAAGTCAGCTTGGCTGTGTCTCTTAATTAATCGTTCTTACGCTCAGAGGGGGATATTTACAAAGGCTGTATGGAGGGCATAATAATATTTACCCACTGCCCACATACGTTTGCCTCTAGGTTGAAGAACTTTTGAGCAGGAATCCTTCTAACCCCTCTGTAGTCTAAATTAGAGGAGCTTGGTCGTGAGGGTTTTAATAACTTGTTTGATTTTGCCTCGTTTTTAGGTGTTGTAGAAGGGGAGAGGGCTGCAGAGCTGCAGGAAACGAAGTATGTACCGCCTGCCAACAGGCTGACAGTGGATGCCATGGAACTGGAAGCTCTCAGGAAGTCTGTAGAGGACTACTTCTGCTTTTGCTATGGTGGGTGCTTCAGGGTCTTCAGAATACCTGCTTTGGATTTCTAAATTTTTATTCCAGTTGGAAGAAGGGTGCTTTATGATCTCGTTGTCTGAAAAGCAGATCTGTTACCCAGTGTGCAGTGAGCCAATTCCCACACACTCTGAAGAGATACTTCTTATTTGGACCTGAGTGCTGGGGGAAGTTTATACAAATCAAGCATAATAATGCAATTTTCTTCATTGTATTTATACACGAAATTCTCAAGTGTTCCATATTCCACCTATCTAATAGAGAAGGGACACCTCCTACCTATATATCCATAAGTTAAGCCATCATAATATTGCCTCCCTTTTGTCTGCTTTCCTGGCCATCTGTGCCTGTGCTGTGTCCTAGGCCTTACGTGGCCCTTTGTGGCCATTTGGGCAGTGCTCCCCTTGCTCTTTTTCCCTTGCTCTTTTTACACTTGCATGGCCACCTAAGAACGAGCTGGGCACTTCTCCTCTTGCCAGTTTTCCAAGGGGATCAATTGGTACTGATTAATCAGATAACATAAAAGGTTGAGGTGTTCTACTTTAATATAGGCAGCTCTTGATTGAAGGATTCTTCACCCATGTTGATGTAGCACAAACACCCTCTTCTTCCCAAGGGAGGATTGTTTCTGTTACCTGTATCCTCCCCTTAGAACACTTCAAAATGTCTACCTAGTATCAATCTTAGCTTTTCAACTGTACTGTAATTTAGGTAATGAGCTTATTTTGTACTGGCTGATTCTACAGCATGCACATATACTGGGTGGTTTTATTTCCTATTTGTTTTGCAGCATTTAGTTTGAGACTGTGGTGCAGTACGGCCCCTTTGCTTTTAAGTAAGCATCTGTGCCTCAGTGGGTTCCACTGAATATTGGTGCATGAGGTTTCCTACAGGGGTTTGCATCTGTGCCTTGTTTTCTCTCCAGTCCTCTCTGAAGTAATGGGGTTTATGAGGCATGCATCCTTTTGCTAGCTGCTGATTGTGTGACAATCTCCTTTTGGTTGTAGGTAAAGCTTTAGGAAAGTCAACGGTGGTCCCGGTGCCGTATGAGAAGATTCAGAGAGACCAATCTGCTGTGGTGGTGCAGGGCCTGCCCGAGGGGCTTGCGTTCATGCATCCGGAAAATTACGATGTTTCAACCCTGAAGTGGATTTTGGAAAACAAGTCAGGGATCTCATTTATCATCAAAAGGTTCATTGCTCTCTAGTTTGCTCGTTTGTTCATTTTTGGAATTCAAATTCCACTTCTTAAATTGTTTCTGTTTCTATTAAACAGAAGTCTTGCCTTTTTAGTTTTGTACTACAAAGTCCATATTCATCTATTTTGCTAAAGCTATGCTTTGGTGTTTTTTTTTTCTCCTTATTTCCATACAGGCCTTTCCTAGAGCCGAAGAAAGAGTTAGGTAAGTTCCTGCTTGTTCAGACTTTCATTTAGGAATAAACTGGAATTTCAGTGTAAGCATCTCCTTTGTTTGGGTGAAAGGTTTGCTTAGCTTTGTTTCCCAACATTTTGACTTTTAAATCTGGAAAGAGAGCAGTGGAAAGCATAGTTTGAAGCAATTTTATATTGGTGTTACTTGACAGTTTAATAATCCAATTCAATTAATCTCTCTTCTTCGTATCTTTGCATGTGCATGGGCTCTGTATACAAAATTTGAATTGAAAGGTGTTAAAGGAAATTCACATGATATCTTTTAACTTTCAGGAGCTCATGTGACAGATCCTTCACAATCAATTATACCTCCAGGTGGAAGGTGAGTTTAAAATAATGTAGGGTTTTTTGCATGTCTTTAAATATTTCATCTACTTCTGTTGCATGATTTGATGTCAGTGTCAACGGTGTGTTTTCATATGAATTCATATAATTTATCTTAATGGGCTTTTTCTGACCAGCTGACCTCTGGACAACTTCTTGATAGCATGGGATTATAAAGAGCACAGACAGTCTCTTTCTTTTGACCATTACTTGTGGAGAAACTATTACAAATTAAACAGCTGATGAAGTTTCCGTTCAGTCTAATTAGCCCAGTGAGTGTTGTTAATTCACAGTCTATCAGTGATAAGTTTGCCATGTCTTATGCTAAAGCAGCGACTGGGAACAGATGAAATGTTCTTCCCTTCCCCTTCCTTAATTAAAAAAACTTTATATATCTGTATATTTATTTGATTCTAAACTGAGAGCTTATATTTGGAATAAATAAAAAAACTGTTTAATGTGAAAGCAGGGAAATGTTCTGTGCTTCTGCTGAGTGCACTTCTCATTGGATGGTAAACGTGCTTGGAACGTTGTGCACATCCATCGAGTGCAGGGCTGGGAGATTCATCCCCATCCCCTCGAGGCTGATTTCACTAGACAGCTTGTAAACTATGAGGAGCTTTCCAGAAATAGGATTTTGGGGTTTTATAATGTCACTGTGTTCATTCTGTTTGTTTCTGTAGTTGCCTTCCTGTTCAAGTGAAAACGGAGCCTACTGAGGATCCTGGTACGTTCAGAATTTTGTCCTTATTTGCCAAACAACTGCATCATCAGTTTCTGTTCAGAAGGCTGTATTGAAATGGTGATAGGAAGATCCAATAAAAACAGCATAAATCCACCCTGCGTGTGAGAGAGAAACTGCTTGTTAGTTAAAAATGGCCACTTCTCCATTGCAGTTTTTATCAAATTTTTTACCTTAGCCAGAGGTTTCCACTTCTGAGTTTGTCATGTTTTGTAGCCTGAAATTATTTATTATCATTGGAAGTGAAAAAAGGGAAAGGTCCTCAGCTCTTCTTTTCATTCTTACTCAGCACTATTTTATCCCTGATGTGGAGAGTGGAACTTACCAGCTTATATAATAGCACTACCAGAATGTTGATAATGACATGGAAACAAATGGGAAAATGTTACTTTTTGTTTAAAAATAAAAAAAAAAAATCAATAGAATCATTCCCTGCAGCTGGGACAGGATGCTGCGAGGCACTGTGTTCCCTGTAGCAAAGCAGTGCTTAGGTGTGTGCTTTGAGATTAACACAGCAATAATTGCAGGGAGACAACAGGTTTGTTTGGAGATGAGTTGTGCCTTCCTGCTTCCCTGGGTTGGGCTGTGCAGTTTGGTGTTTTGTAGAACTGTGTTTTGTTGTGGGGGAAGGAAGCCATTCTTTTTAATTCTTCAGAAATCAGATGGTGTTTGCAGGGATGTTTGCTTTGTAGGGATGCATTTAGTGCTGGATCACCTCTGATGGGAACTGTATTGAGACAGGAGAAACCTGCAACGTCACTGTGTCACTTGGTTACTGTTTTGTTTGGTTTTTTTTCCCCTCAGCAATTGTTTAGTGCCTCAGCACTTGGAAATCAATTTGTTTTCTTTTCTTGTTTAGATACTAGCTAGAATATTAGGGGTTTTTTTGTTTGCTTGTTTTTGAGTTATTGACTTTTTTAGTTGTTAAGAACTTCGTAGAATGGCCTGGGGTGGAAAGGACCACAATGACCATCTAGCTTCAACCCCCTGCTGTGTGCAGGGTTGCCAACCAGCAGACCTGGTGGCCCAGAGCCACATCCATCCAGGGATGGGGCATCCACAGCCTCCTTGGGCAGTCTGTTCCAGTGCCTCACCACCCTCTGTGTGAAAAACTTCCTCCTAATACCCAACCTAAACCTCCCCTGTGTCAGTTTAAAACCATTCCCCCTTGTCCTATCTTGATTATCTTTAATCTACTTATTTGATTCTTTTATTGCTTCTACAGGAATTCCTTTGGAAATGTCAACAGTGACAGTGAAGGAAGAATCAGAGGATCCTGATTACTATCGATACAATATTCAAGGTAGAGATAGCAACATCTGCATCTGCTTATCTCCTCACTGGGTTGGCTCCTGAAAGAGTTGCTCTCCCTCTACTCTCCTTTTACCTACTTGTGGTTGGCAGGCATAAAATTGCTTGCTGCTGTTATGATTACAGCATCTCCATGCTGGCTGCTGTTAAGTTGTACTTCACATCTTTTGTTATTCTTCAGAGTAATATTGGTAACGTATGAGTGTGTTTGGGACTTAACAGAGAAGCCTGTTTTTCTATTTCTTTTTCTATTTCTTTTTCTATTTCTTTTTCTATTTCTTTTTCTATTTCTTTTTCTATTTCTTTTTCTATTTCTTTTTCTATTTCTTTTTCTATTTCTTTTTCTTTTTTGGCTTGATTTTTTTTTTTTTTTTCCTGCATGCAAAATGTTTTTCAGCAGGAAGCAAACCCTGATGATAGCAATGCTCAGAGCAGTGCTTGAATCTTTTCTTTAGTTTCAGCTGCATCAATCGCTTTCCTTGGAGGGAAAGACCAGTGCATGCCAAAACTGTTTTGAAAGTTAAGATTATATTCCTATAGACAAAGCATAGCAGCATCTGTGAGATCCATGACTGTGGCTCTGAGTGTATTTTGAAGTATTTCTCAGTTGTGCTTCATCTGTTCATATCTAATTAAAATACTGCATGTTAATCTCAACCAGGAACAAATAAAGAAATCCGTAAGAAAGTTATGTTCTGTAGGTTGAAATGAGCAGTAAGTAAGAAGCCCTAATTACAAATGGCAATATAAAAAATATAAATAGATCCCTAAATGTATTATTTCAGCTTCTTTGCATTTGTCATTAGGATAGCAGTATAAAAAAAAAAACACAGGCAAATTGCCATGTATCTCTGAAGGACAATAAGATGTTGAAGAGTGGGCTGCAAAGTAGCCCATCCTTCTATTTTGTAATAATATATTATTTAAGCAAGATTTTTGTTGGTGTTTCAACACAAAAATTCCTGAGATTATTTTCTAACCTGTTTTAATTGCTTAAAACATGCTAATAAGAGAATGTTGGTTCTATGATGCTGTAATGTACAAACATCGTTCAGAATGACCATAACCACATGGCAAACCAAAATGTCTCTACTCAGTGCAGAATTTGAAAGGTGAATTATCTGGGATTATGATCATCTTTTCTTTGTGCTTGTTCGTTGCTTAGCCTCTGGGTCCGTGGGTTTACAGGAAGGATATAATGCAGTAAAAACAGCTGCTTTTTTGGAGCTGTCATCTTTCTTTGCTTTTCAGCCCCTGGTGGCTTTCTGTTTCATGCAAAATAACCCCACAATGTCAGAATTTGGCCACTAGCCTGAAGTGCAATCCGTCCCTGTTTGAAAAGAGTCTGTACTGAAATCACTAAGAAAGCAGTAACTTGTTGTAATGCGAGCATGTTGGAACTAAAGAAAATCAATTTATACAGCATGCTTCTATAGTGAAGTCTAGGCAATGTGGATTTTCTTAAGGAGTTTCTTTTGTGTTCATTAGAGATCTCTAAATTTAAATCTTATGGGTGGGAGGTAATGTACACCTTTTTCAGATAAATAGATGCTCCAGTAACAACTCTCCTTTCCCCCACTCCCAGCGTAGTAAACTTGTATTTAAGGGGAGGCTACACTTGAGTCTGCTGGGAGGAAGGATGATGTGCTGTGAGCCAAAGAGATTTTACCTGTCATAGTGTGTTACCTTCCCTTCAAGTCAAGGAGCTTCCCCTTCGTTTCTCTGAGTGGCTATCACCAAGGTTCAAGCCAAAGGTTGTACAAAATACACAAAGCTATAAATTCAACAGGAACAGGAGGAGAGCCTTAGAGAAGTACAGTTCTACCAAGGTGTGTTTTGAGAGGTGAGATCAGTCTACCCAGCATTTCCTTTTGTGTAGACAGACTGCAGAAAAAAGGAAAACGGCTGGGATCTCACTAAGAATATCCTACAGCAAAAGCTGGGTTTATTGATTTATGAGAAGAAATAACTTACATGTTACAGAACAGCAGCGTGCCTGGGGCTTCCTGGAGAGATGATTTACTGCTGGAATTTCACAGTTATTGTTTTTCTGAGTATTTGTTTTCTCTCACATGTCTGTAATGCTGACCAGGAGTCTGCATGCCTTGGTGGCACACACAGCTCTCCAGTTAATCCAAGGGGGGAGAAATTAGAATTGGAGATGGACGTTCTTCTCTTCCCTTATTATCTCCTAATCTGCTGTGGCATTTGGATCTTGCCATGAATTAACTCCTGAATTACTAAATTTAGGAAGGTGGTGCTCGAAGTACAAAGCAAGAAGATAAGGAAATAGAACTTTTTAACCTTCAAAAACTTCCCCCAAGTGTTTTGATAGGGCATTAGGGGCAGTTTTCCTTCAGTGGGCAGTGGCAATGTGGAAGGTTATTGGTTACTTTTTCCTCTGTCCTGGACAAATGTAAAGATCAGTGCAGTGTTAAATGCTTTGGCTGACACTGGAGACAACCTATTTGAAAGGAAGGTACAGATTTGACTGATGACTAAATAAGGTAAAGGACAGTAAAACTGCAGGACTAAATAAAATCATGAGTTCCAAAAATCATATAGGTACCTATCGTTGCTGTAGGCATCTAATCTAATGAGCACCACTTTTGTATGGCTCTTAGGATAGGAAATGTTAGTTAACATGCTGTTTCTTGGTTTAGTGTCCTCAAAACAAGAGCATCCTTGTGCCTATGCCTACCTTGTGTTCAGGAGTGTTGGCCGGTAACAAACCTGGACACTGAGCTAGAAGGCTGCAAACAAGGTGCAGGCTGTCTTGAAGATCCTTCTTGGAAGGATTGAGGTTGGAAAGCTATTGGTGCCAGAAGGAGAACAGCTCTGAAGCAGTGAACAAAATAGAATTGGGCTGTATGTATTTCAGTTTTTTCAGTTTACACAGAAGCAGAAATATGTTAAAGGAATTACTCAGGGATACGTACCATCTTCTGTCCTCTTTAACAGCATAGAATGAAACATGGCCCATATAGAATTGAGTCTTGCTGATTACCAGGCACTTCCTGAAAGAAGCATGTTTCGCCCAATGAAACTTACAGGTTTGAGTCTTCTGTTACCACTGATGCCTTGAAGTTTAAACAAAGAGAACTAGAAGCAGAAGGAAATGCCTGCAAGCAGCTGTCCTGTGAATGAATGGGTTCTTCAGCTCTTAGACTGGTCTCCACATGAACTTGGCTATATAAATCTGGGGAAAGTAGGACTTGACACATAGGCACTAACTTGAAAATTCCACAGAATATGTAGAGAAAAGAGAGTGGTGAGGTGCTGGCACAGCTGCCCAGAGAGGCTGTGGATGCCCTGACCCTGGAGGTGTTCAAGGCCAGGTTGGATGGGGCCCAGGACAGCCTGGTCTGCTATTAAATGTGGAGGTTGGTGGCCCTGCATGTAGCAGGGGGTTGGAGATTCATGATCCTTGAGGTCCCTTCCAACCTGGGCCATTCTATGAAAATACCATCTTGTGCTTCCTGGTGCCTTCCATTAGTCCCTCAAATTTTGCTCAAGTGAATGAGAGAAGGCATAGAAGTGTTCATAGTTCACAGCTGAATTCAACTTTGCAGAAAGTCTGAAGTGAGCACGTGGTGCCTGAAGTTGGGTTATTTGTCAGCTTTCTCTGTGGAGTGGGAAGATGAGTTTGTTGTGAGACTCAACTGAAAAAACGTTCTCTTTGTTCCCAAGGAGGCCCTTCTGAAACATCAGAGATGGATGAAAGAATTGCTCTGGCCAAAAGTTACACAGGTAGGTCTGTATATACATATATATTTAATTTAGCTGGGTGTGATGTGAACAGCACACAGAACAAAGTGTACAGAAAGCATATCCTTAGGGGAAGCAATTCCTTACTGAATCTCAAGAACATCTGAGATGAATTGATTCATAAATTGCATTTCTTTCAGCTTTTTCTTGTTTATTAAAAGTACCATTCTGCCCATTTGCAGACATTAGGAAAAGCTCATCTGCATTTCAAGCAGTGGGTTTCTTTATAAGGTCAGAGTGCTGTCATCAGGTTTCAAGGTTCAGAGACTGAGTCTTTGTTATGGTGTTCATGTGAACGTTATCGTTCTGAATTTTTGGCTTATGAAAATCCTTGCTTTGAATATTCGATGTCCAAAAGTTAGTTTTTTGTGTTATGAGATGTTTGTCTAAAGGCAGCCACTAGGATTCCAGTTGCAGTGACAGAGCACGTGTGGAAATAACAGTAGAAGGTGCTTTGCATGAAAGCAAAGTAATTGGATTTTTCTTTTTACGGAAATACTTGAAAAGTTGGCATCTTAATTAAAGTTGTACATTTTCTCCAAGTATTCTTTCTACATGGTTGCCTTTTTGTATTTATTTATTTATTATTATTATTATTAATCCCCCAAACCGTGGTGCTCTGTGGCTTACTGTTGTGATGGGAGTTGCCATGCTTCTAATTAATGAATTATAATTGTAAGGTGCCTATCACCCAACATTCTAAACTCCTGCCTCTCAAACCTAAGCTGTAAGCATTTTTTGGATGTTAAGACCAAGTTATGCTAGCAGCACTATTCAGTCTTCCCAGTCTCATAATTTCATGCTTTGAAGATGCATATCACCACACTTAAAGGTGCTGTTACATGAAATCTAACAGCATTTCTCCTGATACAGGAGAATGAAGTTCTCTGCTCTCGTGCTGGCTGCACAGCTAGCACTGCTTATTTGAAAGGGAAGTCTAGGCACTGTATTTTCCAAAGCATAGTGCTGTGAGCCCTTGGTGCCTGATTATAGAGAGTGATAGCAAATGGCTGAGAATTTGACTTTGCTTTATTTTTGCCTGTGTAGCATTTCATTGCTATAGATGCTGTGTGACACTTTGTGTCAGAGAGGAGTTTTCTTACATTCTGTTCCTGAATGAGGGAGAGACAAAACTTCCACGTGCATGGAATGGCCCAGGTTAACTATAGCTGCCAAGTGCTTGTTAGTTTTAGTAGGACTGGGTGAGTGTGGAGCACAGCACTGTTGAAATTCAGTAATCAGAAAGTCAAGGTTGTTAAACTGAATGGCAGTGCCAGAGAGTGACAACATTAAGAACTGTAAGGGATGCTGCTGCTTAGCACCTGTGTTTATTTACCTTGTTACTTGATACAAGGATATAAGATCAGAAAAATACCTCACCATGATCATACTGTGTTGGGAAAAAAAGCAACCAAAAGCCTTTAGTGTTTATGCCTGATGATACGTTTGACATAATTTGTGTCATCCAGGTAAGGTATCTCAGTATTGCTGGACCTCTACCACACATGGCATCGTATGGAAAGGAGAGAAGGGTCCCTCCAACAAAGTGATGTGGGGTGATAGAGCTTACAGAAACCTGAGCTAAGATAGTCCTCAAAGTGTGCAAAATAGTGTTGCTCTGCCAGAAGAGTTAATGTTTTCCCTCATGCACAGCTGTGAGTGGTTACTGAGATGACTGACATTGCTTTTTTTAGATTTTCTAGGAGTTAAATTCAAATTGCTTTCTGCTAGCAGGTGCTGATGGGCCCAATCCTGTTTATTGTATTGGTACAGGCTGCCCCTACACAAGCATTTTCATTTTCACTGTTGGCATTTGGAGCCTGTTGTGGGAAACCATCGTAGTGCAACAGCTCTGAATCTGTGTAAATGATAAAGAAATACATCATCTGTAGGGCTACACAGGCTTTGTTTATGTTTTTGGTAATCCTTGATAGCTAAGAGAAAAATATTTATGATTCTATTAATCCTTTTAAGCCAAGAGTAAGGAATTTCCTCCTGTCATTAATGCCAGCCCTCTGTGCTGCTGTACATGTGATTTACCATGTATAATCCCTGCCTAGAGTTGCTTAAAGGCTTATGGTAAGAAAGCTTTGCTCCTTTTTTTTGTTGCATGCTGTGAATGTGAAATATTTCAGTGAGTCATGGATCTTCTTGACAGGTGTCAGTTAAAGCAGAAAATCATTGAGTGCTTGGCTAAAAGTGTTTGTGTCCAAACAGAAGTTCAGAAGTTGTTTTTTCTCCCCTTCAGATTCCTCCCAGCATCCTCCTTCAGAAACACGTGAGGATCCCGAGGTCGAGGTCACCCTGGAAGGTAAGTTATCCAGTTCCAGTGTTTCTGTTTGTAGGGCTTTTAGGTCAGTATGTAATACTATACTTCCTAATGTGTGATAATATATTTCCTAAAGCAACTGGGCTTGTTCAGAGAAGAGAAGGCTGTGGGTAAATGTCATTGCAACCTTCCAGTACTTAAAGGAGTTCACAAACAGGAAGGAAAGCAACTTTGTACGTGGGCAGATAGAGATAGGATGAGGGAATGGCTTTGAAGTAAAAGAGGAGAGTTTTAGGTTAGATGTTAGGGGGAAATTCTTATACTCAGAGGGTGGTGAGGCCCTGGCACTGCTGCCCATTGAAGTGTGGGTGCCCCATCCCTGGAGATGCAGGCTGATCTGGTGGGGGGGAGGCAACCAGCCCGTGGCATTGGGTGGACTTGGTGGGCTGTGAGGTCCCTGTCAGCCCAACCATGCTGTGATTCTATGGTTCTAACTAAACTATATGCACGCTGACCTGGGCGTATGCTGTTCTACATGTGAAATTAACTTCTCTGTCTGCTTTAACCATTTTCTCATTCCAATATTGGTGTTGTTGGTGACTGGAGTTTTCCAAGAACTTGTGAGTTTGTAGAGAAGCCAGTGCTGTGGGGTGGGAGCTGACTGGCTGAGTAGCACCTTGCTTAAAAAAGACCTCAGGGTCGCAGGTGTCTGCATCCACTTGTATGTTTTTTGGCTAGGGCAGACCTTCTGTTTAATGAATTTCACCAAAGTTCATCAGTTTTGCATTGATTTTAAACTGACTTTAGCACCTTTGAGGTCTTCAGTATTGAACTTAAGCATTGTTTGTCAGTGCTTATTGGTGGAAGGGTACTTTTAGTTAGATACAAAATATAGTCTGTATGTGCCCAATTCATTTGCTGTTTCTTTTGCTGTCACATAGTCACTGTGTGATCATGAGATGACTAGTTGTTTCAGAACGCAGTATTGTTTTCCTTAGGAAATGTAAAGAAGCTTTGACTTTTTTTTGCCTGTGTTCTGCTTTGAGCCAATGTTCTCACACAAATTGTTCCCACACAGGCTAGCAGCTTTCTAGAGTTACTCAAGTAATTTATTGCAAAATGTGAAGCTCTCATAAAGCATGGATCAATATTTGTATTAAGGCTTGAAATTCAAACAGTTCCAACATTGCACATCAGTTCTCTGGATGGTAAAGCTGTGATATTTTCGTGTTTCTTTCAGATGATGAAGACTACTTGCCCCCTAACAAGAGATCGAAGAACACTGAGGCAGCACCTGAAGCTGCCAGTACTGGGAAAAGAAAAGCGAGAGAGTTCAATTTTGGTAAGAAAAAAAATTCAAGATTTATTTCCCTCTGATTTGTTTCATCAAGAGGTATTAGGCAGTTTCACAGTGCTGGAGTAAGGCAGGCCAGTGCTTGGTCAGTTTTTTTGTCAGTTGACTTACTGTGCAAGAAAATCAGACTGAATGTGCTACTGAACTGAAGGATGACAAGCATTAGATCAGGAATGTGTCCAGATGGTCTTCCTTGATATGCACTGTGAGCTGTAAAGGCAACCAGCAAATCTGTTGTGCTGAGTAGCATGTTCTCATCCTCACAGATGCACAAACTGTTGTTTCAGAACGGTCCATGTGTTCAGCAGCTCTATGCAGTGAAACAGGGTTTTCCCTTCAGCCCAATAAATTCTGACTTGTATCTTCCTGACTCTTACGGTAGAGTTGCTGTTAATCCACTGTCCTGCAGTTCAACAGAAAATGCTGTTGCGTGCTCTCTGTCATGAGCAGAAAATAAGATGTTAATGTGTTGGCGTTTAATCCAATTTTCCAGGGAATACACAGTTGGAATTGGATAAATTCTGTCTTGCAACTTGCATCTTCCTTCAGAAGGAGGATTTATGAGGAGGTCTTGCAAAATCAGGACTTGGGGAAATGTTGGATTAAGGAAGAGGAAGACATAGTGCTTCCTGATCCATGTAGTTGTATGGATTAACACCAAAACAAGTTCATATGCTCACTGTCAGCTTCATCAAGCTGTTCAGGCCCTGGGTTCAGATAGCTACCAACGGCAGCTGCAAACTGACTTTGCACCTAATGGTGGTCAGAGCTGCTGACTGAGGCATCAAAGAAAAGTTTGGGACTTGGTTTGGCGTGGGTTTTGTCCTTTTTTGTTTTGTTTTCTTTAAAAAACAAACAAACAAAACCTTGATTTAAGATCTACACAAGTTTGGGAAGCAATCTTAAACATTTTATTCTTTTGGATTTTATCCATATATTTTGAGGTTTAGTATTGCCAGAATCTGTATGTAGATGAGCAATAAAAGCACACTGCATGTTTCTGTTAGTGGTAACAGGTCTTACAAGAGATTCTCGTTTTTATCTGCAGTCTGACTTGTCCTCTTTTCTTTGCAGATAAATGGAACGCACGAATTACAGACTTGAGAAGGCAAGTGGAAGAACTGTTTGAGAAAAAATATGGTATGTGTCACAATCCTCTTAAAACAACTGCTTCTGTTCCTTTGGCAGTGGAAATCACAGCATTTTCGTGTATGTGTTGTTGGTGGCTCTGAAGCAGACTAGCACCAAAGAGTAAAATGTCACTAGAGGGCTTAAAACAGCGGGCATTAACCTTTTTGACGAGAGAAGTTTGGCACTGGAGTGCAAAACTTGGTTTAAGTTTTCAGTTGTGCTCAGTTTCCTGGAGCATAGCTCCAGTATGCTGATGTTCTGGGCACCTGTGTTTGAAAGACTCAGTGTTTTTTGGTAATTAGACAGAATCTTTAAGTAGAATAACCTTAGAGAATGTCTTCGGGGATTGGTTTCCATTGATTGTTACTTTCTGATCATGATTGGCTTGCAGTGAAGCATATCCTGGGGAAAAAAAGCAGCACATGTGTTAGACTTTGGAATGGTTTTGGGTGTTGTACATAGGCATCATTGTGTCCACATATCACCAAGCATATCACAGCAGCAGTACAAATTTCAAAATACCCAGTGGTGCTTTTGCCATCAAAAGTGGAAGTGTTCTCTCAATGGAGCTTGTGGTCTGTCAGAGTTGTTGCATGTTTCAGGTGTGACCATCAGCTGACACTTGAACAGCCCATTGGAGGCAGCTCACACTGAATGAAAACAGCTCAGGGTGTTTTGTTGCTTCTGTTTGTTGCTTTTGCTGCAGGAATTCTGTGCATTGTTTTAAATTTCATGTTGGTGTTTGCACATATCCTGTAAAGATCTCCTGTGGAGTCTGCTGGGAGAGCTGGTCCTGACTTTCTGTCCAAGGTCTTGGTATTAAGCCATCGCCTTTTCCCCTGTAGATGACAGTCCATTGATTCATGAACCAATTCCATACCAGGTTCCATTTCTTTCTATCTACATGGACATGCAATTTCTTATTTACTTAAATGAGTTATGGATGTTCAGAATTCTCAGAATTCTTTTCGGATTTGTTGGCTTTTGGAAATCTAAAGCATTCTAGCAATGTCAGCTGCTGTCAAACATTACTACTGACTAGTCTGAAAATGTATTTATTTTGGTGTTTAGATGTAGGCTGAATAAAAATACTTTTTATAGTATAAATACAAGAGTGTCTCACAAATATAGGCTAAATTGAAACTTGTATTCAATGGGATTTCTTTGCAAAAGCTTGCAAATCTAAGGAGCCTCTCTGCAGACTGTGTTACTGAGTGCATTGGTTGATTGCAGAGTATTTGCTGAAACATTTATTGATTGAAGTGAAATAAGGACTCCTGCTTAAAAAGGACAAATAATTAAAAAGACAAAACCTCCTCAGTTGTAGCTATTTAAAGAAGTTTTTGTACCTTTGAAGGAATGATCTAGATTTTAGTGCTTTCCTTGCTTTTTTTCCCCCCCCGTGGCCAACTGTTACGAATGTTGCTTTCCAGCTGCAACTCATCTCTGGGTTTGTTATGCTCCTTACAACTCACCACAACAGCCTCCAGGGCTGCAGGTTTTGTTTGAATTTCTTAGAAAAGGTACATAACTGCAGTAAGAAGCTGCTTCAGTGAAGGGCTGGGATGATACACAGCAGTGCATTTGGTGGTTGTCCCACGTCTCCTCTAATAGTCATATTTGGGTAGGTAGGTTTTCTTTAGTCTGTGTGCCCATCTCTTTGCAGAACTACATTCTGGCTGTAGTTTTGGCCACCTTATTAATAGCAGTTGGAGCCAACTGTGGTCGAAACACAACTCTTCATGATCTTCTGGAACTTATGTATTTCATGCTCATCAGAATTTAAGACCAAAATGCAGGCAGTTTTTTCAAAGCTTCCCCTTTTGTGCCGTAGTCACACCTGAATTCGTCATTTGTAAGTGGTAGAAAGGGTATGTTATCCATATGCCTTTAAAAACTAGATTGTTTTATTGCATGTAAGAACTTCAGAGTTCATGTGAACCCGTGCAAATATGCTGTCTGTTTCCCATTGCTTGAAAAAGTGCCTTCAGTAGTTCTGTGCTGCAAGCACAAACATAACTGCATGCAACAAGTTGCATTATCAAAGAGGGCACCTCTTTGATCTGTTAATATTTTTCTCCTCACGTAATTTCTAACATCTGATGTCCATAGCAAAACAACAGGATGTTCCAAACTATTTGCAGACCAATCAGATGCTGGTAGGGAATTCTTGTTGCGTGATCTGCAAAATTAAGGTTCCGTTGTGAGTAAAAAGAGATTAGAGCTCTTGGTATTTGCAAACTGTCGTGTCTTTTTGTTAAAACATGTGGCTGCCTGGTACCTGGCCAGGGTACTTTGGAGGGGGAATGGCTGTTACAAGGGATAGTGATACGACAAGGGGGAATGGTTTTAAACTGAGACGGGGAGGTTTAGGTTGGATATTAGGAGGAAGTTTTTCACACAGAGGGTGGTGAGGCACTGGAACAGGCTGCCCAAGGAGGCTGTGGGTGCTCCATCCCTGCAGGCATTCAAGGCCAGGCTGGATGTGGCTCTGGGCAGCCTGGGCTGCTGGTTGGTGACCTGCACACAGCAGGGAGTTGGAACTGGATGAGCATTGTGCTCCTTTACTACCCAGGCCATTCTGTGATGCTGTGATGGTAGGTGTATCAATGTGATCTGGTCCTTGTAACTTTAAGAGATACTCTGAGGTTATTTTCCAGTGCTATGAGAATCCATTGTGTGTTTTTTCACTGGCTTCAAAGGTTTCATTAGCAGGGCAAAACTTTTCTGGGTGATGTTAGAAGTATACTATTAAGTTCTGTAGTGATTTCTTGCATTTCTAAAGTACACCAGAACTTTAATAAGAACAGACCCCCTCCTCCCCAGCAAGGCATGACTAACTTTTATAAACCAATAACAGCAGAGCCACAAGCTGGTCTAATTATTTCATTCTCCTTCTCTCTTAAAGCTCAGGCCATAAAAGCAAAGGGCCCCGTGTCCGTGCCGTACGCCCTCTTCCAGTCCCACGTGGAAGACCTCTATGTGGAAGGCCTGCCGGAGGGCATTCCCTTCAGACGGCCGTCCACGTACGGCATTCCTCGTCTGGAGAGGATTCTCGTAGCGAAGGAGCGGATCCGCTTTGTGATTAAAAAGTAAGGAATCCTGTGGGTTTTGTCCCTGCTTTATACTTTTTTCTTTTTTCTTTTTTCAGTCCACGCTGCTTCATGTCATCATCGCGCGTTTCCACGCTGATTTCTGCTGAGGCGTTGCTTTGCAGTATTGATGAGTAGTTTTTATTTCAGGCTTGCTGAGATGAGAAATTCAGCTTATCAGATCAGCAGAACACCACAGCGGTGGCTTAGATCTGGATGGATCTCTTAAATCTTAGAGGCTTTTTATCATGGGCAGATCACTTTGTAATATTTTAGTCTCAGCAGCTGTAGGATGCACTGCAAGCCACTGACTTAGGCACATTTAGTGCTGTCTTAAGATCCTGGCCTGAGTTTCAGTTTCAGGCAGTGCTTTTATTTTTCTCTTGCTGCAATGGTGTAAAGGTCTGTATCTGTAGATAGCATCTCCCAGGACACGTTTGAGGCCAAAACAGTGACTGCTTCTTAGGACTTGTGTGTGTGTGCATACAGTGTCCTTGATGTTATCATGAAGTACATCTGGTAGCATACATGAAGACAGACCTTACATGTACATGGGTACTGTTTGAGGGCCCAGGTGCCTTCCTTCTCACCCTGGCAGGATATCATCTGTCTCTGAGTCTCACATCTTAACTCTGTGGCATCTTCTGGGCTCCTTTCTCTTTTTCTCATTTCTTGCTTCGGTGTCTTTTCTAGGAGAACCCTGATGTGACTTGCTACAGGCAGGTGGGATTTTGGGGTGCCTGAACCTAATGTGAATTCAGGATATGCTGGGAGAGACTGCAGTGCCACGCGTGCCACTTTGGTAGACCAATGTGCAGATTTGATAGTGCCTGGCTATTTGCTTTTTGTCACTTGTTGCTTCACTTCAGACATGCAATGTTTCACGCCAGAGATGGGTATTGATGGCATTGTACTGTTGTGCAGGGCTGTAGGGCCTAATCCAGGAGCTTTTGAAGTGGGTAGGGATGTGCTGATTGCAGTGGTCAGGCTCAGGATCAGTGGAAGTGGCAGCCTTTGCCTCTGTGCATGCCACCTTTGAAAGGTTTTATGGTTTGTTTCTGTCACCCCAGCCTTGCAGGTGAAAAGAAAAGAGGGAGAGCCATAGCTCTGCTTCTTGTCTCACTTAAAATCAGCCACTGTGCAGAGATTTTAATATTAATACAGTACAGGAGCCAGCTCTGGTCAGATTTCTGTTAGTGGGTAACAGTAACTCATTTACACTGCTTATCAGTCTTGCAGTGTGTGGTAACCAGAGCAGCACAGCTCTGTGAGAAATGCCATAGTTAAAAAAATGTGGTGTTCTGGTATGGATGAAAGCAGCTGTGATTGGCAACAGAAATGTCTGCTGTAAATATTTGTTTTTAAAGGTTGACTTTTCAGTTTTCTTCTTTGTCTCTGATGATAGTTTTGACTGGTAAGTGCATCTTAGACCTCAGAGATGATTTCAGTCTCCGATACTCTGAAATGTTATGGCTGTTATGGTGGATATGAGTGTCGGGAGTGAGAAATATTTTTGTCAGGAGAGTTTCACCCAGCTCTGATCATATTTCAGTGTTAATTGGAATGTAATATTATGAATCTTAATATCTCTTCACTGTTTTTGATCCTTCAGTGGTGACTTCTATTTGCTAGATGTATCTGCTAGAGAGGCTGTAACTAAGGGCTGTAACTTCTGGTTTACCCCAGTTTGTATCACTTTTGAAGCGTGGATCTTAAATCTTCTAGGCACGAGCTTTTGAATTCAACGCAAGAAGATGCACCAGTGGACAAACCAGCTGCAGGAGGTGGGTCTTCAGATGTGCAGGTTGATTGCCCTATGGTTTCCTCCTTGTCTGTTGGTCTTAGCGATGCCTACCACCAGCTTTTACTGCAATAATTGCAAATAATTCTTCTTGTTCTGGATTATCTTTAGCTTCAGAGTGATAGCGGTTGACCAATAAAGTCTTCAGATCCTGCAAGTAGTTTGGAAATCTAGCAATTTTTTCCTCTCATTTATTCTTTATTCATATGCATGAGACTATTCTAAGCAATCAAATTCAAATCATTTGATGTAATTTATTGGGGGTTGGAGCTGGTTGATCTTTGAGGCCCCTTCCAACGCAAGCCATTCTATGATTCTAAGAGGTATTGTACACAAACAGTAGAGAAATAGATTCAGGAAGCTCACCATGAGTACACAACTAGGAGCAGAATGATACCTCATCTGTTGTGAAAGCTTGCTTGTGGATGTTCGGTGCTTAAGGAAAACTTGAGAACAAGTTATTTGTGTGCATGGCTTTCAGGTGATATTTGAGATGTTTAAAATGGGGAAAAGACACCAAAACAAACAACTGATCCCACCTCCAAATGGGAACTATGGATTGAAGGAATATAAAAGCACTGCTTTTATATTGTTGAATGCGTGCTTCTTCAGCTGTCCAACTGAAAATATAACCAAGTAATTAGGGAATGTTTTTATTTTTATTTTTTCTTTTGCCTGTGTCATTCTAACATGCAGTGAAGGAGGAGTGGTATGCCAAAATCAACAAACTGAGAAAGACGGTAGATCAGCTCTTCTGTAAGAAGTTTGGTGAGCATGGTGTTGTTGTTTGCTGTTGTGGTTTTGTGTTTCTTGAAGGTTGCTCTCAGTCATTTGTGTCAATGTCTTCATAGGTGGCACCTTTGATTATTCATAATCCTAGCAGCTGATTGGAGGAAAAAAAGAAAGCAGTATTACTCTACTGTGTATACAACTAGTTAAATTCTTAGTAAAAGAAGTCGAATGCAATACCATTAAAATTTGAACATTTCTGGATTTTATGAATTTTATGAAGTTGACCATTTTATTTTATAGATCTGGGTTAAAATATTACGTGTTACTCCATAGCAGGTTTAAAACTTTGGATAAAACCATTGTATTATGCCCTAGTGAAGAAGCCCTTAATGATGTCTGGCAATGTGGCTGCCCAATATCAACATAATGCAGTTTGGTAGAAGTTTGTTCTTGATAGGCTGAGACTTGGAGTCTGTTGGATTCAGATATCCTGCATTGTACCAGCTTCTAAACTCATGCTTGCAGCGATGTGGAGGTTTTGTAGCTTTGAATGAAGCTTGTTTTTAACAGAGAGAGATGGCAGACTGTCCAGTTAATGGGTTTATTCTGTTCTAACAGCTGAGGCCTTGGGGAGCACTGAGCCTAAAGCTGTTCCATACCAGAAATTCGAGGTCCATTCTGCTGACCTCTACGTTGAAGGTCTACCTGAGAACATTCCTTTTAGGAGTCCATCCTGGTATGGGATCCCTCGCCTCGAAAAAATAATTCAAGTGGGCAACAGAATAAAATTTGTAATCAAAAGGTAAACATTTGTTTTAATGCCTCATCTTTTATTTTTTTTTTAAAGAGGGCAAACAAACACCGTTCATGTAATCAGCCACCTGCTTTCATTCGGTCACAAAGCATTCAGTCTTTGTTTGCCAAACAGGCACGTGAAATATTCTGCATTTTAAACTGAGTGTTTGCAACCCTGACAAGTTTTCCAAAATATTTTGGTAGCATGTTCACGAGTGTGAAATGCTCAACAGAAAGATCCCAACTTTTCACTGAATGTTATAGAAAGCATGCATTGCTTACGTTGTGTGAAGAATGGATAGATGATCTGCTTTCTGTTTGCAGGCCAGAGCTGCTAACTCTCAGTTCACCTGAAGTTACTCAACCTGGGACAGCCACACCAGGCAAGACAGGTGCTGTCTCTAAGGGGCATTGGTGTGGTCTCAAGGGATTGGTGTGGAAACTCATTTGGATCATTACAACACTTTTCAAGAAGTGATCTTTCTGTGATGCGTGCCATGACTGCTTCTTGGGAGGTTTGAGCAGAATACATCGATCATCATGAAAATAGATGGCTTTCTGAACTGTAGTGCATTCCAGCTATCTTTGAGTAGCTAAAATGGATCATATGCACAGCCATGGAGAGCTGGAGTTGTTATCCTGCTCTGATGCAAAGCTCTGAAGTTCCTTAGCATTTCACAGCTAATTTAGCTGGGCTTTTCTTCGAGCCTCTGTTGTTAGGGAATTTTAATGACTTCTTGAAAGCAGAAGTGCTTTTGGAATAGGGAAAGAATCCAGATTAATTTAATGTGATGTTTTTATTGTTATTTGCCTGAGACAGCAGAATGCTCTTTTCTTGCTACAGAAGTATATAATCCAGATCTTGATATTTTTTTTATTTATTTCTTTTAAGTGTGAATCTGCTTGTAGTAAGAACACAGACTGAGATCCAGGGGGTCCTAGGCTTTTTCCCACACATTTCTCTGGATAATCAAGCTCTGACTTGAAGAACCAATTGTATTGAGTTCTCTGCAGGGGGGGAAAAAATAAATCAGACTTGTCGAATCATAGAATGGCTTGGGTTGGAGGGGACCTCGAGGGGCATCTCGTTCCAGCCCCCCTCCTTGTGATGCTGACTGCTGGATCAAGCACCAGATCAGGGCACGATCCAGCTTGGCCTTGAGCACCTCCAGGGATGGGACATCTGCGCTGTCAAAAACTTACCCCTGACATCTAATCTAAATCTCCTCTCTGCTAGCTTTAAGCTCTTGCCCCTTTTCCTCCCACTATCTACCTCTAGTAGAAGTTAATTTCACTCTTCTTTATGATCTCTCTGTAAATACTGGAATGCCATGAAGAGGCCTTCTCTACTCCAGGCTCAATAAGCTCAGCTACCTCACTCTGCCTGTGTAAGAGAGTTGTTCCAGCCTTCTGATCATCTCTGTAGTCCTTCTCTGGACTCTCTCCAAACGTTCAACAACTTTCCTGTGCTGGGACACCTCCCCCCCCCCACTGCCTGCTTGCACCCTTCTGTTGATGCAGCCCAGAGCACTCCAGGCCTTCCAGGCTGTGATTGCATACTACTGGCTCATGTCAGCTTTTCCTCAAGCCCTTTTCTTAAGGGCTTCTCTCAGGTTCTCCTCCCACTCTGTGCACATATCCAGGCTTGCCCTGACCCAAGCCTGGTGTCCTCAGCAAACTTGCTGTGAGTGCACTTGATTCCAACACCTGTGCTATTGGTAAAGATGTTAACGAATACTGGTCCTCACCTGGACTGCTGGGGGACACTGAGCAGCCTCCACCTGCAGGTAGAGCTGTTGACAACAGCTGCAACCATCCAACCATTCCTTATCTGCCACATAGTCCAGCCTACAAATCCGTATCTCTCCAATTTAGAGGTAAGGACGTGGTGTGGAGCCATATCAAACACCTTACACAAGTGCAGGTACATGACATGTGTTGCATTTCTGTTTGTTCACTGATGCTGTTGCTGCACCGTAGGAGGCTGCTGGATGGGTTGGGCACAGTCTGCTCTTAGTGAAGCTGTGCTGGCTTGCTCAGATCACTCCTTCATCTCACATGTGCTTTAACATCTCTTCTAGAAGGATCTGGCACTGTTTGCCAGAAAAGATAGGCATTTTCTGGCTGCTAAGAGCATTTTTTGTTCATCTAAGCTACCAATAGTCAGCACTCCTATGTTGACTTCTTTGTGACAAAAAAAAAACCAGGATTGAAGATGATTTTTTTAAGCTAATAAAAATGTTCAGAAAAGCACTCTTTAAATCCCTGTCTTCTGTTGTAAAGGGTGTTACACACTGGAATTAATTCTATCTTTGGAAACCTACTAGAATAATTCTTTCCTGCATCTGAAGGACATCCTGCTCTGAAAAACAAGTTCTCCCACTTTGGACAATTTTGAAACTTGTAACTACATTTAAAGAAATTTTCCATTATATAAAGAGAGTTCCATGTATCATTTAAGTTTCCATTAATAGTCATTATTTGCTGCATGTCCTTGTCTATTCGTGTGCTTGTCTACTCATCAGGTTGAGAAAAACGTGTTCAAATATGTCTCTTTATCTGGAATTGAGTAATGCTCTGTTTGTTTCTTGTTCTCAGCCAAAGAAGATTGGAATGTCAGGATCACAAAGCTAAGAAAGCAAGTAGAAGAGATATTTAATATGAAATTTGGTAAGTGGAAATGTTAAATTAACTCTTTTATAAAGCTGCTGTGTTTTAAAACTGGTCTGTAAAAGGTGTTTTCAATTCTACTGTACTTAAGACATCAGAAATGTGCTGGGATGTATGGAGGTGTTGACTTCTCTCACATACTGCCCACTGACCCATCCCAATAACTTACACTGATGACTCTATGACAACATCCCAACCCTTAGTTTTTCCAGCTGTATGATGGAGAGGATAAGCACACAGAAAGCTTTTGGATGTAAGAAGTTGCCAGAAGAAAATATTAGGCACAAATAAATAAGAGCTTAAATAAGAGATGTTATCTGTGGCACAGTGGAGAAAGGCTTCATTTGTAAATATTCTACATAAGGTAATAGAAAATCAGGGTACACATTTCTCTTGGTTAGGTGGTTGTCTTTGTTACCCCTGAGCAGAACAGCTTCTGGAAGCCAAGCTTCTTAAAATCACTGGAGTTAGAATACCTCCCATTCAAGTGTACAAACTATTGTTAATGTTCATTTGCAGCTTTAGCTCTGGGGCTTTCAGAGGCAGTGAAAGTTCCCTATCCTGTATTTGAATCAAACCCTGAGTACTTGTATGTGGAAGGCTTGCCAGAAGGAATTCCCTTCCGGAGTCCCACGTGGTTTGGGATTCCACGCCTGGAAAGAATTGTCCGCGGGAGCAACAAGATCAAATTTGTTGTTAAGAAGTAAGTTTGTAATTCAGTTACTTTCCCTCCTGATTTTGAAGTTGCTTGATTTTCTTCTCGGAAAACTAAGGGCTTAAATTCTAGCTAAGTGCTGTTTCCATGAAGCAGGAGATTTTTCACCTAAATTGATGTCATGAAAGCGTGCGACTTCCTCAGGAAATTTAAATGCACAGTTTGTGTTTGGTGCATCATGGATGTAGGGGAATAAAATGGCACTGTACCTGGAAGCTTCATTTTGTTTTTCTTTCCTCATTTGTTTGTTTATTAGAGCAGAACGTGTAGCTTTCTTTTCTGGCTTTTTCTCCTTAGGGTTGGAGAGTCACAAATGCTTCTGGCAGAACCTTACTGTGGAAAGGGAATTTACATACATCTGAATCTGACAGAATTCTGTGAAATTTGGGATATTTTTCTGTATTATTTTTCTTGCATATGGAATTGAATTGTATTCTGTTCAATTTTTAGGCCTGAGCTTGTCGCCTCCTATTTGCCATCAAGACTGGCTAGTCAATTAAACACTAAAGGTAAACAGTTAAGTATTATTTGCTGCTGTAGATTCATAAGCATTTGCTTTCTGCATCCTTAGCAGACAGAGATCTTTATGGTAGGAAAACACGGTGTTGCAAACAAAGTCATTACTGAAGGTGAACTAGCAGGGTAGCCTCTGAATCTACTAGTATTAAGAAAAATTCCTTGAATGTAAGTATATTTCTCTTTTTTTTTTCCTTTACTTAAGACTGTTCCAGTAGAGAATATACTGTTTACCCAAGTTCTACAGCTTTTATTTTGCTGCTGTCTGGATTGTTCAGTTTTTACAGTGTAAGCTGTACTTAGTGCAGATACAGGTTAGTCTGTTAGAACTTTCAAAATGTAGTTTGGTTTTCTTGCTAGCAGTGCAAGCTACACAGCATAGAGTGTTTGTGCATTACAGCTTATAATATCTTGATTTCTAGCAGCAAATCCAAAGAGTTCGAAAAGGTTACAGAGTCCTGCAAGCAATTTACAGGTTCCAGAGATAGAAGTTACTGTTGAAGAAGGTAAGGAAGAAATATAATAAAATATTCTTACACATTCCTGCTCTATTCTTGTAATTCTTTTACCCTGTTCTTTTAAGTTTTCATTTTGTGGAATTGATTTCTGTCTGCACCTTGTGTAACAAACCCAGTATCATTTCAGGGCTGCGGATACGTTTCAGTATAGAAGATTTTATTTTTCATTTCTGAATAATACTGGATTCTGTGCCATGATGGTTATGTAAAATGTGTGAGTTCGACAGTTTGCTTGAGCCTTTTATTCCAAGCAGAGATGTGGGAACTGATGTAGTCCTGAGCAGAGCAATGACAGATGTGAGCAATTGTGTCAAATGCTTAATTACGATCCTGGAAGAAAGTCTGAAAGCTTTTTAATTCCAGTCTTGATTCAGAAGTTAATCTTTCTCTGGTGATCAAGCTGGATGTGTTGTTCTTCTGTATGAAGCATGCTTCTGCTCTCTGCATGTATATAAGTAACATCTTTCTTTACAGGTCCTAATAAAGCACAAACAGCAGATGTTCAAACTAATTCTCAAACCAATGGGTCCAGTCTGAGTTTCAAGCCAAGAGGAAGAGATTTTTCTTTTGGTAAATATTATGGGAATTAGCATGAATACATTCCATTCATATTGGTGTTGAAAAATCTGGTGGTTTCATATCAGAGAGATTTTGAGTTCATTCACAAACTTCTTGTTTTCACATACACTCAGTTCTCAGTCATCAGTAGTAATATGCATCAGAGAAACCCTGGATGATGGTTGAAGAATGCTCTTCAAATGCATTACAGGTCCTTTAAGATCTTATTAACCTTCAGAATTAAAGAGATTTGTGCTGCTCTGTCATGTCACACTGCTGCAGACTCTTGATGGATTTGCTGTCTGGTGCACAGTGCCATGGAGTGCTTTGGCAGAGCTGAGGTCTTATGCTGTGCATAAGCTTAATAAGCCCTCCGTGAACCTGAAGCGTTGAGCCTCTCTGTGCAGCTGTATGTGAGTGGTACATAAGAGAGGGGCAGATCTGCACTATGGTTAGTAAGCCATGCTCTAACAGAGCTGATTTTGGAGATCTCTGTGTTGGACCTCTCCAGTGCTACCAATTCCATAAAACCAGTATAGTTGAGGCAAGCCTGGAAGTGACACTGTTGGGCATGTGTCACTGAATGCATAAGAGCTTTCTGCTTCTATTTGATAGTTGGCTCAGATGAGTAATTTCTTGCCTGATATTGTAAATTTGGATCACTCTTGCATTAATTTCAATTTCGGTGTACTTCCTTTATGTAGTAACAGTGTTTTTCGAAGCCTTAGCAATGTGAGGATCCTCATGGCTTTAGGTTTAGGCTGCAGCAGAACGTTTCGGGGCCATTTGCAGGATGAAAGCCATTTTGTTCTTTTTAATGTCACAGTAAATTGGTTATCAAGCATAATAACTTATTAGGCGGCTTTAAAAATATTCTTCAAGGATTAATTCACTGTGTGAGCGTTGATTTAATCGTTCCATTTTCTCCTGACAGAGGCGTGGAATGCCAAAATCACTGATCTAAAGCAGAAAGTTGAGAATCTTTTTAATGAAAAATGTGGTAAGTTCGTTGATTCCTTATCACTGAGACGCCTTCCTAATGAGCACACAGTTAGACGTACGACAGATATGTTCACACATTTCTTCCCAAGGTCCTACGCTCCTTGCATGCTGTAGTCATTCTCTCACTTGAGTTCATTCTCACACAGGGTAATTGCAGTTCTGTGTCACGTTTCCTCTCATTATTTCGGTTTGGAAATGGAGAAGTTGTGGTTTGATTACTGCTTCTTTAATGACCCAGAGAAATGGTGATTCCACATCCTGCCACTCCTGTTAAGCGTTTCTCACTCTGATTATGAATGGGAGTTCGTATGACTGGAGCCTCTGCATGATAATGTATGTTCTAGAGAGTCACGTGCCCAATCAATTCCCACTGTTTCTTCTGAAGTCATTGTAAGAATCTGAGTAGATATACAGACATACATACATATCCATACTGAACCATCTCCTCCAGTAATTGGAGCGAGACAGTCGTTACTCCTGCAAGTGCAGTTTTTGGAGCAAGAACACCAGTGTCATCTGCCATCGGTGCAAACACAGAGACAAACGTGTTGTGTATAATGAAGTGAAGTACAACTAATAGGCTTGCATGCACCTAAGCCAGTTATAAGCTGTCTAATGTTTTCAACTGCTAATTACAATCTGGTTCACTGCATGGAGATGTGTTGGGTTGGTGATTGTTTTTCTTCTTGCCTACTCATAGCCATCACCAAGAAAAGCAAAGCCTGCTGCTTCCACTTAGCCTAGTGTGCATGTGTCAGCTGTGCTAACCTGTTTGTACCCGAGGCGTTCTCCTTTCTAGCTGGTGGATTATTGGCTCTGTTGTGTTTCAGGGGAAGCACTGGGGCTGAGTGAGCCAGTGAAGGTACCGTTTGCGTTGTTCGAATCCTTCCCAGAGGTTTTCTATGTGGAAGGCCTACCAGATGGAGTGCCCTTCCGACGACCTTCTACCTTCGGAATTCCGAGGCTAGAGAAGATTCTGAGAAACAAATCTAAGATAAAATTCGTTATTAAAAAGTAAGAATCTAACACGTCCCTGGTAATCCAGTCCTTCAGAAATGAACTGTACACTGAAGAATAAACTCTGTGATGCCGAGTTGCTGAATGACTCTCTCACCTGTCTAAAATACACACTGGGATATCTTAGTAGATGAGAAAATGATTAGGAAGCTCTTGTGGAGGTGGAGTGAGATGTAGTCATTTTCTTCTGCTCTGGAGGACTGACGACCTGTTTAGGGCTGAAGAACAAGACCAGGTTCCTTAGCCCAATTCATTGTCTGTATCACTTGTTCTTTTTCCTTCCAGTACCTGATGGAGCCTACAGGAAGGCTGGGGAGGGACTTTTTATAAGGGCAGGTAGCAACAGGATAAAGACCAATGGTTTTAAACTGAAAGAGGGTAGCTTCAGCCTAGATATTAGGAAGGAATTCTTTACTGAGGGTGGGGAGGCACTGGAGCAGGTTGTCCACAGAGGTTGTGGATGCCCCCTCCCTGGAATCATTCAAGACCAGGTTGAGTGGAGGTGTCCCTGCCAATAGCAGGGGGTTGGAATGAGATGATCTTAGAAGTCCCTTCTAACCCAAATTATTCTATGATTCTGTGTAGTTCCTATTGCATGGGGCACTTATGAGTTAGCCAGAGCAAAGCTTACTAGCAGTACTGAAGGCTGAAAAATGGTGTTGCAAGAATTGGTTTTACTTATTTAGCATGGGTTCAGATAGCCACGTGCCAGTGTGGAAACAAGCAAGGGAAATGTGGAGGTCTCTGTCTGGCCTAGAGCGTTATGGCATTTAAGATATCAGGTAGTTCCTGTCTTTTAAAAAATAACCACTGGGATATGGCATGGTCTTTAATGTTGCTGAAATAAATGTGATTGCATTGTTGCACATAAATGTTTAATCTCTCTGCAGGCCTGAGATGTTTGAGGCGGCGGTGAAGGAGAGTTCTGCTAAAAGTCCCCAGAGTGAGTTTTGCAACTGCTTAATGCCCTAGATAAGTCTGTTTCAAGGATTGAATGCAAATGAGGAATGCTGCTCGGTGTTGATGAGTCCCTGAAAGATTCACTCCATGTTGTGGTTGGTAGTTTGGTCTTAAGATGTAGGGAGGTTGTTATACAAGCTGAATTTGAGGTCCAGCCTGAGGTCCTGTGCCACTGGCCTGCATGCATAGCAGCTCTCTCTACTTTCCAAACTATTTGGAATATAACTTTAGCAGGGATTTATGAACACTCTGTGTTATTCACAAGAAAATATTCATGTCTGATAGAGGCATGCCTTTCATCAAAATACAAGTGATGTGCAATCATAGAAGTAATTCAGATCTTAGGTTAATTGCTGCTGATACATAGCTCATTCAAAATGGGGAGTTCTCCATGGCTGGTGTGCAGATAGCTGGTAGAAAATTATGTCAGCTGAGGCAGATCATGGATTAAATGTTTTGAGTCATTGTTAACTTGTATTCCGAGTCTGGACTGTGTGGCTCAAAATACAACTGCAGGGCAATTATTCTGTGAATGCATTCTGGAAACGAGATTCAGTGTGCTTTGAAAGCTTTGCAAATCTCTGCTGTTTTGCCAGATTTCCTTTATATCTGACATTCAAGATGCGTGTTTCTCCACAGCTGTTTTTTAAATGAACTCTCTTTCAGGAAAAAATAATCCATCTAATACAGCCAATACAGCAAGCACTACAGCAAATACAGCAGTGAACACAGCAGCAGGAGTTGAAGATCTTAACATCATTCAAGTAACTTTGCTAGGTGTGCATAATCTGATTTCACTTTGTACTCCTTGTACTGCAGTCTTCACAGTATTTGTTTCATCTGATATTTTCTTACAAGCTGGACAGTTGACAGAAACACAAGTACAGTCAAGAAAAAGCAACGTTTAGCATCTTGTTTTTCCATGTTAAATGTTTTCTGACTTCTATGGCTATGAGTATCTATTTGGTGATGAGTCTGGAATATTCTTGATCCAGCCCGCAAGTTGAGAAGTATCCTTATTTTTCCTTTTTTTTTTTTTTTTTTTTTTTTTAACTCTTTGTATAAATTACAAAGCTGGTTTGTAGCTTTCTTGACAACTTCAGGAGATCTGATCTTGGATTTAACTGATTAGTCATGCAGGCTGAACTGTTTTCTCTTGAACAACACTGACTGCTTTCTCAAGCACGCGTTACATTCATTAGAAAGGAGCTCCATTGAATGCTATGGCTGTTGATTGAATCTCACTTTGCTTTTGTGTTTCCCCCACCATTATAAGTACTGTAAGCAAATGAATACAGTTTGTGTTTTCGGATGAAGCTTACAGAGCCACCTCTAGGAAGGAGATCTTATGTTGTTCACGTAAATACAATTCTGTGGTACTGTCAAGAGTAGGAACAAAGGCAATGTGTGTTTCCAAACCTCAGGGGAAAAAAAGCCTGCTTAGTTCTCATGCTTTTCTAACAATTTTTTTCAGAGGATGAAAGTGAAAGACTTTCAAAGGTGGAGAAGGCCAGACAACTGAGAGAGCAAGTGAATGATCTCTTCAGCAGGAAATTTGGTGAGTGCTTCTTACTTCCCCTTTTGACATAAGTGAGAATGGAAATAATGCTCCTGTGGATGTTACTGAATCATCATTTCTGGTGTATATCATCACTGAAATGAAATGAACAAATTTGAGAATTGTATATGAAAATTGTGCTCTGACTTCCAGAAGAATCTTTGATGATGCAAGTAGGTTGTTGGGTATTTTGAACAAGTCTCAGCAGGACACGTAGCTTTATGTTCTCCCACATCCTATTTCTTTTGTGCATTCATGAACAGAATATTTATTTTGCTTGGAAACCATGATTCATCTTACAGCTCCATAGTCTCAAGCAATTTGTACTTGAAATTAGAGTAATTTTCAAAACACAACTTCCAGCTTTCTTTATTTTACTGTGCAATTGCACTGTACAACTATAATCACCCGAGTTTCTTCATCTGAAATTCCTTTGCTAGTGCCGTGTTGAAATATTTTTTTTGTGGGTGTTGGAGGAAATGCTTTATTTTCCTTCACTTTGTTACTTCCTTAGCCTATTTTTTAGAAGAAAGGGAATCTGGGCTCTTTATGTGGGAGCTGTCAGAGCGGGCTTTTAAACTAATGATCTTGCAGCAACATTCATGAGTGCAATCCAGAACGCCCACTTCTAACACTAATGATTTAATCATCAAGTAGATTTTGGTTTACAGATGTGATAGAAAGCTGGTATTTGCATTTAGTTTCTTAATTAACTGTGTTTTCTTTCTTCGGTGTGATCATAAATATGCGAACTTGAAAACAAACATGACCTCTCTCATTTAGGTGAAGCCATCGGTATGAATTTCCCTGTGAAAGTCCCATACAGAAAAATCACAATCAACCCCGGCTGCGTGGTGGTGGATGGGATGCCTCCTGGAGTGTCATTTAAAGCTCCCAGTTACCTGGAGATCAGCTCCATGAGGAAGATTTTGGAATCATCAGAGTTCATCAAATTTACTGTCATCCGGTATGGAGCTGCGTGGAGCAGATTGTATGAGTGCAGGACAGCCCTTAGCGCGTGTGAATTCGCCTTGCAAGAAGTCGCAGGGCCTCTTTCAGTAGTGGAGGATGGGGCTCTTGGGGTTAGCAGCGTGTCAGATCAAATGGAGCCCTGACGTTGGTAGCAATGTGACAAAGGATGTATTATTAATCTTAAGGCAGGCTGTCTTCTGAGATGCTGTCTTACTCATTTTATGTGCTGCAGTGCTGTGGGCTCTGCTGTCCTGTTTATAAAATCAAGCCTGGAGACAGTTCCCTGCTCCAGAACTTGTTGACAGTAGATAGTGTGTTTGTGCTTGTGTTATTCCTGATGATTTTGAAATTTGTATCAAAATTCTTGTGTGGAGGTAAATTTTTTTGATGTTTTTTCTAGTATTTTAAAACATAATATTTACAATTGCAGTGTAAGTTAGTTTTTGTGTATGTGTATATGCACACGCACATCTGTACAGAGTGTATTAGTGTGCATGCAGCAGAATAGATGAAATACTGAATCACACTCAGGAGGACTTCAGGAACTGGAAACAAATATTAAAGTTGTTGTAACTCGTGAAATGACAGTCTGCTCCAAAGGTATTTGAAAGCTTTGGTCTCTATGGAGAGAGAGACACTATTTAAATAGAACTTAAAGGTGTCTGAACTCTCAACCCTTGACCATTAAGCACCCAGGAGGTGCTATGATGGAACCTCCTGTTTTGTTCCACTTTCTGTTAGCAGTTGGTAGCAGAGCTCACAGCTTTTAGGTGAGGATGCCTCAAGAGGGAGGTCCCACACAGTGCTTCAGAATCAGCATGGTGTGTTCTTTCTGTTTGTTTGTTTTTTTTTACAGACCATTTCCAGGACTTGTGATGAACAACCGTAAGTAATTTCTGTGACACTGATAGCAAATGTAATTTTGTAACTTACCAGGATCAGTTTTCTCCATGTTGACTTTGTGGAATGTGAAATGAACACGAGAGCAGTGTGATCAGTGCCTAAAATTAGCATTAACTTTGATAAGAAAATGCAAGACACTCATTTTGTATTTTACAGCTGCAGGGTCCCAAAGAGATTTAGGACCCTGAGTGTGCAACACACTGTCATGGCAGTGTCTGTATTTTCAGTTTGAATCCATCATAGTAGCAGCTAATTAGCAGGAGTTAAGTTAATAAACAACTTTAGAGCAGCTGCAGCACCGTGTCCCAATAAGAAGTCCTGCATTCTGCTGAAGCAGGAATGGTTGAGAGAGGCAGAATGCAATTATCAGTGTGTTGCATTGCATGTTACTCAAATTTGGTTTGAAAAAACAAGTCTTAGTATTTCCAGTTGCTTATAATAATTGTAACCTTATTTGTTAACATCTTATTTAAAGAAAAAGCAAGCAGCAAAACACTGTTGTTACAAGTGACCCTTGTGTTGCATTCTTTCAGAGCCAATGTGGCCAAATAACCTGCTGTCAGTAGTTTGGCCTTACTCAGCCTTAGCATCCCAGTGCTCATCCATTTGCATCAAGTACAGTATTCTGTACTGAGGTCTGAATGGCAAGGACAGAGTGTTCTCAGGAAGGTTTGTAGTTGGGAGCTCACAGCGAGCTGCTTAGCAATCGTGGGCAGGATCCTTAGGTGGGCAGGAGCTCCCTTTGTAGGAGGGAGCACTTCAGGCAGATGAACGTTGATGATGTTGCCAGAGGATTGAATTAGAAATGAAAGAATATTAAACTGTTGGCTCTCCAGCATAGTTTTCAGTGTTTGTTGGGACTGATGCTGGCCAACTGAAGAAGGACAGCGGATGTGGGGTCATCTGCCATTACCAGAGCAGGAAATTGGTCACTGAATGTGTGACTTTCCTTCAGTATCTGTGTCACTTAATTATGATCAGAAAGAACTGACACTGATATTGGAGTGAGTTATTGTTCGTCTCTGAGCCAACTTGCAGATATGGAACATTCCTGCTCTGGGGAACATATGAGAAATAACTAGGAAATTGTAGGTGCTTGCAGGCAAGACAGGGAATGCTTTTTTCTGAAACAAAAAATAGTGAACTGTGGCTCAAATAGTGACCTTGTAATGCAACAAGTTTCAGGATTTGCAGATAGCAGAGGTAAAATGGCCCTTGTGTTACACATGGGACCAGTTCTGTTGTAAAGTTAATGATGATCATGTCTGATCTTAGAGCTAATGGAGAAAACTGAAGCAGAAGCAGCACCAGCAGCAGCAGCAGCACCCACAGTACCAGGTGAGGCAGTGTGACACGTGTCCTTGCAGAAGGGGTGGGATATGGAGTTCTAGATGCTATTGGCAGATGATATCAGCAGTCATGCCCTGGGGATGCACTGCTTACGATGAGCTGTTTGATTTTGACAGATGCTGTGCAATGATGATGTTTATAGCCATTAAATATTAACACATTAATAGAAAGAAGCACTGCTTCCTTCAAGCGATGTCATTGGCATGTTCCTTAATTTCATTTCTGCAGATGATGAGTGAGCTGAAAGGAAGGATCAGTAGAGGCAATATATAAAGGCAATTCCCTGTCTGTTTAATGATGTCTGCTTAACTCAGAGTGTGTGTCTGTGCCAGATCGATGTTCAGCCAAGTTATGTTTGCCTGCAAAATGTGTAAGAACCCAGAAAAGGGTCTGGATGGAATTTCTGTCCACTAAACCACACCAAAGCCCTGTTAGATTGTATCTGGACTGCACTCACAGGACCTTTCTTAATCGGAATGGAGAATTTTGTTCTGTGCTGGGAGTTGCTGAGCTAAATGTAGTTGAACAACTTCCTTTTGGCCCAGTATTTCATGAATTCTCACAGGCCTTTCAGAAATGTGTATCTCAAGTTGCCAATAGCCTTCTGCTATTGACTGAACACACTGTCACTCAGAGAAACAGAGAGAAAACGTTTAATAAACATTTCAAGAGTAAGGGGCACTTCTGTGGTAACAGAAAGGGAGCCGTTCCCCCCCTGCTTCTGTTGGGAAGGGGTGGCAAGGAGGAAAAGGTCTGTTTCTGTTGGGTGAACTCTGTCCTTAACTCACCTGCACTGTTAAAAAGGTTCTGTGGCTTTCCCAACAGCTCTCAGTCTCTGAGCCATCCACACAGATTGTAGAAAAGGCGTTATGGAAATAAAATGTGATTTTTGCCCTCTGCTCTACAGCTTCCCCCTCTCCACCAAACTATACATGCTCACCACTGAGAACAGAGGTATCCAGGAGTGGTGTGATGTGTGTTTGAAATCCAGACATATTGAAGTGGTTTGAATTAAGCTGATGCAAATCTGATATGTTCTGTGCAGGAATGCATTGTTTTGCTGGAGCTCAGTGATGTGTGCCACAGTGACCCACACACTGAGGAGAATGTTAATGTAATACAATGAATGTTTGGGTGCTTTTTATATTTTGCTATGAAGTCAATAGCAAGCTACAGATCTTTGTCTCAGAAATATTTACGTGATTCTAAGAGGGAAAAAATGGACTCTTTTTTTCTTCTTATTTCAGAGAAAACTTAATTTTCCTAGCTTTTGCTAAGACACTCACCTGTTTTGTACCCTGGAAATGACATGCATATACATCTGACTTTTTTTTTTTTTTTTTCATTTAAGAGCCAGCTGAACCCAGGCAAACAGAGGTATCTTCAGGAGGTGAGCGTTTGTCTTCAGCTGTATCAACAAATACTTTAAAGTTATAAAATCATAGAATGGCCTGGGTTGAAAAGGAGCACAAAGCTCATCCAGTTCCAAGCCCCTGCTGTGTGCACGTCGCCAACCAGCAGCCCAGGCTGCCCAGAGCCACATCCAGCCTGGCCTTGAATGCCTGCAGGGATGGGGCATCCACAGCCTCCTTGGGCAACCTGTTCCAGTGCCTCACCACCCTCTGTGAAAAACTCCCTCCTAAAGTCATTTAGAACAAAGCTGCATCTTTCTTTTTAAAAAGACACGTCAATCTAAACAACAAAAAGAGGCATTTGTTGGTTCCCAGGACATCTGTTTTAATATTGTGCTGCATCACGTGGAAGATGCTCTGCAGCAAAAGTTATTATTCAGATAATTGTACAAAAGAGTTTTACGAATTGCTGTTTTTGGTGGGTGAGTCATGACTATATATAGGCTTTGAGGGATTGCTCACATCCTGAGTTATCTATCTGAGCATCTAGTTATTCCACGCAGTCATTTTGACAATTTATGCAAGTGAACGATTGCCATCATCAGGGAATTTGAATGCAGTATTGGCCTGAATTTACTCTCAGGGTTTGTTGAGCGGAGTTGTGAAGCTCTGGAAGAAAAAGAAGTGTGGAGAGCAGTGCTGCCATATGGCCAGCAGTACTGGGGTGGACATGGCTGTGCATCACTGCTTTGCATCTTAGAACTCACAACTTGAGTTTGTTCTCTAGTCCTGCTTGGACTCTCTGAAAGAGAGAGCTGCAAACTGCAGCACTTCTGTTCTTCTGTGTCCTTTGCTGGGGTGAAGTCCTTTCTAATTTCCATCGCTGAAACATCAAATGTCTTTGTGCTGCCAAAACGGTGTGGGATCACTGAAACTGTTAGTTGGAGTGGGACAGTTCCTGAATCTTTAAAGGGGAGTCTTTTAAAGTGATTCTTTTGAAGAAATAGACAAATGTGTTTTTGAATTTGTCATCCAAAGCTGCAGTCGGGTCCAGCTATCAGAGAAATGATGCTGAGGAAAGGTGTGTTGCTGCTGAAGTGCACATGGTCCCATTAGAACTAAGCTGGGAGGGATCAAGCATCATGTGCTGAGACAGCCTCGCTTTGCTGTGATGAATTACTCTAGGCCTGAACCTTGCAAACAGCTTCAGTAAAAAACCAATTTCCTTTCAACATCATACTCTCTGTTTATAAAAAGAACAAAATCAGGCTCCAGGACATACAGGCAGTGCTATAAAGGCATGAGATTGCTTTGATTTACCTCCCAGCATCCCTGTGAACAAGAAGAGCAAAGATTTTCCAACGAAGTCTCTTGGAAGTGAAAAATATTTATGAAAAGTTGATGAATGCTTTAGCCAACAAGATCAAATTTCTCTCTTTTTTTTTTAAACATCTAATAATGCCTTCCTGTGTGATGCTGTGCATTGAAGAAGAAAAAATAGCTAAGGTCAAAATTTATTTTGCATGGATTGAAATATAACAATGCAGAAATGGTCTGTGTGTGGTTGGGGAGAGCAGGGGTCTTACAGATGGAAATAAAGTCTGAGAAATGGCCAGTGCTGAGAAAACAAGCTTGTGCAATGAATGTTAATTTGTTAACCAGAAGGCATGACTTGAGCACAAGGGCGTGTGGTCAGATGTTGTTTGCTGGCTTTGGAAGGCATTCAGTTCATTCATTTGTTCACTGCATTTGTCCTTTTTCAACAGATGTTACAGAAACAGAAGAAAGTTGTCAAATAAAGCAAGAACCAGAGCCAACGTGGTAGAGCTCATCCCTACTGCGGTGAGAGAATGTTGTGGTTCTTGGAGTTAGTGCATGTGGAGGAGTAAGCCCTGGTCAGGGAATAATGCTTTTACAGTGCAGGGTGGGGAGGAGAGGGCGAAGATTGGATGCCAGAAGGTGCCAGTCCTTCACTTGACTTGTTTTGTCTTAGTTCTCTTCTGTGTAGAATGTTTTCGCTACCTTGCCAGAATACAAGGTAAAGTGTACTGTGCTCAGATTTGTGAGGGAGTCATTCCAAGGGAGATCTGGGCTGTATCACAGCCTGTGAATAAAAATAGGTGATGGTAATTACGTACCTCAGAGGGAAATGATGTTTGTGAAGAGCTCTGACGTGGTTGGTGAAAGAGCCCTCTGTCAGTGCAGCACAAACACTGACTGATGGAGAACATGACGTGGCCTAACTGATGTCATGCATCTGTTGTTGGTAGTTCTAACACTCACATGAAGGCTGTCTATGTATGAGCATCCCAGCTGATGGGCTTCACCTGGAGAATGTAGGTTTGTTCTCTTGCTGACTCTCTTCCACTTTCCTTGGGATATGAAACAAGCTTTGTGGGCACCCAGGCACAAATTAGCCCTGTGAAGCACTCCCAGCACATCTCAAGGCTCTGACAAAAGGATAAAAGTCACACAGAGAAGTGGCAGAACCCACTGCTTGGTGGATGTTAAGATCTGTCAGCACCAGGGCTAAGCTATTGTGAGCTGCAGTCCTTTGGGAGCGAGGCTGGAGCCTCTTGCAGACAGCATTTGTGTAATTCTGTAACATCTGCTCCATCCCTGTGTGGCAGTGGCATGGTACAGGCCTTGCTCCAGAGCTGCAGTGGTCCTTATGTTCTTTGTAAAGGACTAGCTAAAGAATGTGTATTAAAGCAAGTATTCCATCAAATTGATATAGGAAGCACTCGAGCACACATGTAATCCCACTGATGAAGAGCAGTGTTCACCTTCTGTGTGGTCTTTAATTCTGAGCCTGAAGAACTCAAAGCAGTGCAGCCCACAAGTATTTGTAGCACGTCACAGATCAGCAGGGAAACTAACTCACTTTTGTTTTACTTCTGTCTAGCCAGAAGCACCCAGAGCTGAGAAGAGCTTGCCAGGACTGTGCTGAGCTGTGTGATGTAACTGTATAAGAGAAGTACCTTCTGTACAAACCCTTTTGTACTTTGAGATAGAAATGTCTACTTTTTCAGCAGTTCTGTGAATTGACTTCATGTGAAGAATGACTGCAGGTTTGGAATGGCTGGTTTTGCTCTGGAATATATGATAAGGACTGAATTTGTTGCAGCAATACTGGGGAGATGATAAGGATTCAAACGAACGGGGACTTAACAGAGGCCATCTACTTTTCCCAATGAAGCTGAATTCCACTGTGCCTGAATATATCTCAGCTTCTGTAATGAAGAAACAGTGCAAGTAGCTCCGTTTGTTGGTTTCACTTTGGAGAAAACAGATCACTGATTTTTTTGGTTCTTACTCCTTTCATGGCTGATAGGTCAGTGGTATGTGTATATTTGCACTAATTTTTCCTACATCTGCCACAACTCATTTGTTTCTCATAAATAAAAGGTAAACTGGTTCACTTGAGTGTTAGTATGCACTAATGAGATGGGCAGTATATCAGTTTGTGGACTAGGAACCCTTTTAAATTTAATCCTTTTATAGTTTGCTCCATTAATTGGAAGTAATAAGTGCATGTTTTATCAGAGTATCACGTGGGATTTGTATGATGGGTCTGCTCTGGCAGCCCTAATTTAGGCAAAACAGAGTGAGTTTTTCTCCTGCAGGCTGTGGGTAATGCCCTGCTGTTCATCCAGAGCTACCTACAGAATCCTGCATCACAAGCTGCTGTAAGCCCTGATGTCTCAGAACTTAAATCTCCCATAGTCCTGTTTATGCCCCACATCATGTGAGAGTCTCATGTATTCATTTCTTGAAGTTTCACAACCCGTGAGAGTTGTAGAATTCTGGCTCGAGGAGGTTGGGATGACTGCATGATGCACAAATGCTCGACCTTATTCCCTCATTAAGAAATAAAGATATTTCTGATGGTTTTTTGTGACTGTCCATATATGTTCACATAGCAGTAACTTTGTAGGCAGCTAGAATATGCTACAGCATAGATACTACAGTGAAGAACTGAGTTCCTGTTCCACCCTTTGGACAAGGAAAGCAGCTCTGGGTGGTGCATCTGCAAGGACAATTTTGAAGACCTGTGTGCAGTTGGATGTAGTGTCTGTCCTGAGGAACATCGACAGGAGGAACTCTGCAGACAGGTTCCATGCTGTGGGTGTAAGGCAGGGAGAGGGCTGTAGCTCATGTGCTGGCACGATTGCTCCATGTAGGTCTAAGTGCTCCTGCTTCATGATGTTTGGAGGCATTGTAAGTATCTGGCTGTCATTGTGGTGGCAGTGGGGCCAGGGATGGCTCTGTGCTGAGCTGTGCTGACAGCAGGTGATGGATGCAGTGCTGCCCTGTGTCAGCCCCACAGCAGTGAGCCCAATGGATTTTTTTACCTGGTGACTCAGTGATGTGGGCACTCTCCCAGCTCATAGCCACTGACATATTTCACTTCAGTGGACCTCTGTAGATAAGTTGTAACAGAATGACAGCCAGTTTCACAATTGCTGCCAGACGTTTTTAGGGTGGGGAAATGAAGTTAACACAGCTTTTCATGCGTTTTCAGCTTCCCTTTTCGAGAAAGCAGAAGGGAGGGCCATCCCTCCTTCACTATCATTGCCCTTGGGGCAGCACTCCTTGCCTTGTCTGCCCAGCAGGGCTCTGTGCTGCTCATATGGAGTTGGTGCTAACGTGAGTCGAGCGGGGCATTATAATGAAGGAACTGTAAAAACAGTTCAGGCTGCTGCCTGGTGCGGATGTCCTGGAAATGCATCACACCCTGGGCATATGAGAGCTTGGAAAAGTGAAGTGAAAACTGATGATGGTGGTTTTACTGGAAATGCTGAAGGCTGGGATTGGGTCCATCCCTATGGCAGATCTCATTAGTGTTGGGGTGCACATCAGCAGTGCTCTTTTGATTCTTTCTGATGGCTCTTTTGATGGTCTCGGGCATTTTGAGTGATAAGCAGTAGGGATAAATTAAACTGTCAAAGTAATTGCACTGATATTTATACCTTCCAAATACCAATTTTATATTGAAAATGATCTATGTATATAGTAGGCAGCAGACTTTTAAGGTGTTGACCGTGTATGAAAATCTGATTCATTTCTGAACTAGTAATACATGAGGTGTTCCACTCTTTGGGCACTGAGTGATAATGCCTTAAAAAGCCTTGGCTGTACTGATAAATGAGGAAATAAATACAATTGTAACACCTTACCAGAGCTCTGAATGTTTTCTTTCTTCCAGCACAGAATCCCTGCGGTTGATGAAGTGCCAGAGGAGCATCTGTCAGAACACACAGCCTGTCCTGCTCCGTGAGCTGGTTCTGCTCTCCTTAAGAGCAGTTTGGCTGCAGGCAGTGTAGGACACCCTCAGGTCGGCACCCTGATCTCACTGCAGCAATGACTGGGTGTCACGGGAGGTCCAGCACCGTCCTTTGGTGCTGGTTGTGGGTGCAGTGCCATACAGGAGGAGGCACTCCGTTCTCCCGAGGAGCTTCACACATCCAGTGCTTCCCCTTCGGTGCCCTTCTTGACCATACAAACCCCATCAGCTGAAGTCGTGCTTCCCCTAGAAGAGGTGTGCAGTGCTGAGGAGCATTGCTGCTGCTGGCGTTTGAAGCCAGTGGGAATTCTCAGCATCGCTCAGGCATCAGGTGCTGCCTTCAGGTGCCAGCTTTGTTTTCCATACACGTGAATCCTCTGATGAACTCCATAAATCAGCTTTATGTCTCAGCTGGGTCGTTACTCTTCCAAGAATTTTCTTCTGAAATGACTTTTCTTCCTATCTAGGAATTGTGGGGCAATTAGTGGGAGCACTAATCAGTGCATCATACTGAGCAGCACGCTGAGTTATGCCTTGCATTGCGTTATAGACGAACCCGGTGCCAGCAGTAAGACCTAAAACCTCCATTTCACTTCTCACATTACAGGAAGAAAAATGAGGAAATAGAAATAAACATGTGCACTATTTCCAGCGATGCACTGTCTGTAACTCAGGTTTAAATTTAGTACAACCCTAATTAAGAAATGAGCTTTCGTAAAACGTTTCTGCATATATAACAGCAATCTGGCTATTAGCAGAATGCAAACAGCTCTAGGTGGATTTTTTTTTTTAATATATGATTTGTAGCTCAATGTTCACTCACTTATAGGGAAGTCCCCACCTTAAAGTCAAAAAGAAATGTTTGACCCATATGTGTTACCTCAGCAGCTGCAGCATCCCATGCCTGGGGTCGGGGGTAAAGCTGCTGGGTTTCATCTCTTCGATGCAGCCGGAGCAAACCTTGCCTGGCTCAGGGCCACCAGTGGAGGTGATGAGATCCTTGGTGGCAGCTTTCTGGGGATGCTGCAGGTGATGGGAAGAAAATGGTGATGCAAAGGCAGGGCCCAGCCTGTTTGCAGCCTGTCCCCCCTGCTTCCCCAGGCGGATGGTGCCGCTGTCCCTGGGCTCGGGGGCACGCTGGGCGCTTCCAGAAGGAGTGAGTACAGACTCCTGCTCCCACTGCCTTTGTCAGTGCGCTTGTCCTGCCTGCAAAATGAGCACTGTAGCTCCTGTGCCATCCCAGGGCAGTGTCACCTGGCTGCTGGGGCTGGAGGCTGCGCTGTCTCCAGCGAGGGGTGGACTGGGGCTGGGCTGCAGCAGGAAATGCTGGTTCAATACAAGCTACAGAGGGTGAACAGTTACAGATGCGATTGCAGCACAGCTTCCGTTTTCCTGGGGCTTTTAACTGAAACAGTGCAAGGCGAAGGCAGACGGGAGCAGAGCACAGGGAGGCAGCAGCACAGAACCGAGTGGGAGCAGCTATGGGGGATGCCTTCATCCGGCACATCGAGCTGCTGGGCTATGAGAAGAGGTTCTTCCCCAGCCAACACTATGTAAGTGCACAGCCAGCAGTGGAGGGCAAAAGCCTGACCAACGTATTTCTTGAGATAGAGGTGATGAAGCGTTTAAGAGCGTCCCTTTGTGGAGCTGGGGGTCATGGGAATGACATGGGCTGGAAGCAGCCAGAGGATGAAACCCCACTGGGGTTTGGGGTCCCGGCCACGTGCTGAGCTGCAGCACTCTGCTCTGCCCCGCAGGTCTACATGTTCCTGGTGAAGTGGAATGACCTCTCTGAAAAGCTCATCTACCGCCGGTTCACCGAGATCTACATGTTCCATGTGAGCAGACCCAGGGAGACACCACCCCACATCCAGGGTCGGGCAGGGAGGCTAAAGCAGACAGCAGGTTTGAGCTGGAACTGCACCCACATAAACCTGGCTCAATGGAGGCTCTTGGGTCTCTGTGTTTACATCTCCTTTGCTTCGAGAATGGGGAGTCCGGTGTCCTCAGGGAGGTTTCTCCTGGTGTTGGGTTGCAGACTGCAGCTGGGAGGGATGAGCTGTGGGTGTTGTGGAAGGGTCCCTGTGCCATTCTCACAGCCCTGCTCGGCCCTGCTCCATAGAAAGCACTGAAGGAGATGTTCCCCATCGAGTCTGGAGGCATCAATGCGGAGAACCGGATCATCCCACACTTACCAGGTAAGAGGCAGAGGCCTGGGGGCTGGACCAGAAATCACAGCCGCTTGGAAAATCGCCCCAAACTGCTCTGCCCCTGTGCAGATATTGGCTGCCATCTCTGTTCCTGCTTTTGGGGCTGGAAATCAAAACCCCAGCAGGGTCTGTCTGGTGCTGGGTGCCCTGGGGATGCATCCCAGAGCATCAGCTTCAGTCCTGGGTGGGTGTAAAGGAGAAGGTGTGCTGAGCAGCTGCAGCTGAACACAGCCCTCCTCTGGTGACACCATCCACAGGTTGGCTTTGGTGCTTTTGTGATGATAGAGAAAGGTATAAGGGGAAGCAATGCAATGTATATTCAAGGAGAACAGTATAAACTGATGCAAAGAGCTGACACTTTGTACCTAACTAAGCAAGGTGCAGCTCAGGAAAAATCCCCCTTACATTTAATTTCCTTCCTCAAACAAGGCAGGGAGGGAGAAGTAGCTGTGGGCTCTGACTCCTCAAGGAAGCTCTGCAGTGCACAGCAGGATGGGTGTTTTTCTGCTTTCTGCTATTCCAAGCTGCCAGGAGCGTCCTCTTCTGAGCACGAGGCTGCCCAGCACAGCACGCTGCTGTGTTTGGAGAACTGAAAGCACCAGGAGTGGGACAGCTGTGGGGTGTCATTCACGTGTGTGCCCAGTGTGGGGTTCAGTGCTGTGCCATGGGTTGGAGCTGCAAGTGGGGTTTGCTGGGAAGGAGAGATGTCCATGTGTCTGCATGGTCCTCTGAGCCATTCCTGGTGCTCTGGAGGCAGTGAGCCTTGTTACAGCTGGGCACGGCCTGAGCACAGCTGTGGGAGTTATTCTGTAACCAAAATAGGGTTCAATGGGGTTTTCCTAGGGCTTTTGCAAGGGCTGTGGGCTGCAGGGATGAGCTCAGCTGTGCAAGTTCTGCACTTGCTCACTGGCACCAAAGCCGCTCGTTTTCAGGTGCAGAGCAGCCTGCTCGAGCAAGATGTAAATCCATGGCTTTCTGTCTGCTTTTTCCGACTCCTTTCCCTTCTCCCCCAGCCCCCAAGTGGTTTGATGGGCAGCGCTCAACGCAGAGCAGGCAGGGCACGCTGGCTGAGTACTGCTACACGCTGGTCAACCTGCCCCACAAGATCTCCCGCTGCCTGCACGTGGTCAGCTTCTTCGAGGTCCGGCCCGATGACATGAACCCCGTCACAGACAGCCAGTGAGTGCAGCAGGGCCACTTCTTCACCTCTGTGGTGCAACGCCAATTAATCACGCAATAATTAGCTCTTGGGACCTAGCTAATGCACCACTTTGCTCTACGTAGGATCAGGAAGCCCGAGGTGTTCCTCCTGCCCAAGGATGCAAAGAAAAATGCCAGCGGTGAGAGGCCTGGGGTGGCTGCATGGGGCTGCCTCTTCCACAGCAAAATGCACAGGGAGAGGGGCAGTGTGGGTGGATGGGGCTGAGCAGGGGCAGGCTGCCCCATGGCAGGGGCTGTGGCTGACAGCAGAGGGCAAAAGCAGCCCTGCTGCTGTGTGAAAACCTCATCCTGTGGGAAAAAGAGTCCGGGATGTAACTGTTGAGTCCTAGAAGGTGCTGAGGCTTTGCGTTAGGCTGTACTGGAGTTGCTTTTAATGTGGCTGAAGTAGGGTATTTCTGTGCGAGGAGGGAACGTCTCTCTTCTCTCCCACAGACATCACAGGCCCCATCGTCCTGCAGACGTACCGAGCCATCGCCGACTACGAGAAGAGCTCCAAGCCTGAGATGGCTCTAAAAGCTGGGGATGCGGTGGACGTCGTGGAGAAGAGCGAGACTGGTAGGCGTCCATGCTGCTGTGGGCCAGCCCTGTTCCTGGCCACCATCTCAGCAGGGGTGGGGAAAGCCTTTGTGCCTTACACCCAAACACTGTGTCCCTATGGTGTCACTTACCACAATAAAGGTTGTGAGGGGCTGCTGATGGAAAGGCCCAGCGCCAAACTTGTCAGCGCTTCCCGATTCACATGGAGCCCCGTGACGGTCGGTTCTGGTCGGGGTGTGGGGTTGTGAGGCAATCCTAGAAAACCCTGCAGCCTCCTCATGTGCCTCAGCCTGGAACGGTTCCCGCCCAAGAGGAAGCAGCATGAAGTGGCCGGGCTCCCCAGTTACACCACCACAAAAACAAAGCACAGCCCCAGTGCCCTTTCGGATGTGTCATGGGGGATGTCATGGGAACTCCTGAACACGAGATGGGGAACACGGCTGCTGCTGGCCGCTCCTGCAGCCTCCACGCTGTCCCTGCTCTTGCCCACCCTGCTCTCCTTGCAGGTTGGTGGTTTTGCCAGTTAAAGAACAAGCGGGGCTGGGTGCCAGCTGCCTACCTGGAGCCGATGGATGGTCCTGATGAATCGGAGGAGCAGGAGCCCAACTATGCTGGTAAAACACTCAGAAAACCACAGCGTTCCCAAGAGCATCACCCCTCTGCAGGACAGTTCATTGCAAGGCAGGACCTCTGGGCACAGGGATAACGCTGTAGGAGCAGCACAGGCTTTCCGTTGCACTGAGCTCCTGCACTCCCCTTATTGCCCTGCTGTCCCGCCTCCCTGTTGTGCCAAGCAGGAGGGGTCCTGCAGCTTCCTGCTCATTGCTATCAGGGCTTCGTCTTTGTGGTTTTCAAAACACTCTTGCAGACTCTATCAGCACAGCACTTCCTTGTTCCTCATTTAATCACCCAAATTACAAGCACGCTTTTCAGCCTAGATAAACGTCCTTTCACTATTTGCACTCGCCAGCTTTCTCCTGCAGAAGTGCTGGGTGGACCTGGTGCAGCTATTGCACCAGCAGAGCTCAGCCCAGTCTTGGAGACGTGGAACACTCTGGGTTTGCCTAAACTTGCAGGTTGATGCTCTGGTGCTTCCTCTGCTCAGTGAAGGAGAGGCTGAGCCCCATTGCTGGGGGTGATGTCCCAATTGTGTGTGTGCAGGTGAGCTGTACATGGTGCAGAAAAGCTACACGGCTGTGGAGGAGGACGAGCTGACACTCAAGGAGGGTGACACCATCGAGGTGATCCACAAGCTGCTTGATGGCTGGTGGGTCGTCAGGTGAGAAACACCACGAAAGCAGGCAATGGGATGGACCCGAGGTTCTCCACATCAGGGCTGTGTCATCTGTGCATCATTTGGTGCTGCTGCACAATGCTTTCTCTTGCAGGACTTCTAGTAGCCTTGTGGCTTTGCTAAGTGCAACCACCAAGGAGGCAGCAGATGGAAAAAAATGCATCTGTTATTTTTCCTGCCTCTAAGTATTCTGGCACAGTTTGTTTGGTGAATCCTCAGCTTTCAGACCAGCCTTAGCTCACTCTGTAGTTTTGGACTTTCCCAGGGGAATCCCAGCTGCATTTGTGCTCTGGAGAACAAGCAGTGTTGCTTTGTGTTGCAGGAACGATGAAACCACAGGATATTACCCCTCCATGTACCTGCAGAAATCTGGGGAGGTGAACACTCCCGAGAAAAGTGGGCTGAGGAACCACAACATTCCCCCCCGGAGGTAGGAAATGAGCTGAGGGAGGGAGGGAGAGAGGGAGGGAAGGAGGGAGGGAAGAGGGCAAAAGCTCTTCATTGAGAGGGTGAAATGAAACTTTTGGGTGTGTGGTGTCCCCTGTTCACCCTGGCAATGCACAGAGAGGAGAGAGGTGAGCAGAGCACAGAGAACAGGAGCAGATCCTGCAGGACTGCCGCAGAGCCAGCCCAGATCAGGCAGGCACATTTCTCCTTGTCCTTCTGCAGAGTTTCTTTTCTGGGCTAATCTCGTTTAATTTTCAAATTAGATTTTTTTTTTTTTTTCCCCCTAAGTGCATCCACTGAATCTTTGAGAAGCGGGGAGAGATTTGACTAATCAGGGCTGCCAAATGGCCTAATCTGATGGGAGGATTTGAGCTAATGGAAGGGATTTTATTTTGATTAAAAAGATAAAAAGCAATAATAGCTCATTAATTCTGATGCAACGACAATGGCTAAGAAGGGCAGAGCTTGCCTGGATCTTTTCTTCCCCCACAAGAAAACAAGGCAGCCTTCTATAAAATCTCTCAAAATCCGGCTCTGCTGGAGCATGGGTTGATGGTGAGGCAGTGTAAAATGGTACAAATCTGCTTATTTGAGTGCACTGATGCTTACTGATACCCTTGGGGAGGACAGTGACCTGTCCCTGTGGCACTGCTGCTGACAGTGCACAGCAGAAGCAGGTGGGAACTGGCTGCTTACCAGGGAATGGCCACAGCATGAATTTGGGCTCACAGCACTCCCACTGCGGTGGGGAAGAGCTTGGCTACAAAATGGGGCACACGCTGAAACAAGGCAGGGGCTGAAGGCAAAGGACTGCAGGTGCCTGCAGCAGAGCAGGATGGTGCCGTGGGTGGTGGAAGCTGCCACTCTCATCCTGGTCGTGACAACAAAGCAATGGTTCTGTCCGCCTGCCTGGGGATTGCCCTGCATGCTGGGGCTTTCCCACAGCAGTGTGGCTCTGCATAGCTCAGAGCTCAGCCTTTCACTTCTCTCTGTGGTGTCTGCTGCGGGCACAGCACTGAGCAGACAGCTGCACAGGCACCTGTCTCAGGCTCTGCCCCCAGATCCCATACAGGGAAGCTCAGTGCTGCAGCCAGCATAGATACCATATCCATCCATCCACCCACCTGCAAGCAATGTTGTACACCTCTTCCAGGAGTTTCTTGAATTCTGGGGAAAACCTCGTGCCTCTCCTGCCCTTTTCGGCATTGTGTCTGATCTATCTTGCCATCCCCACCTTCACTTTCCAGGCTTCAGGTTTCACCATCAGCATATGCTTCCAAAGCATTGCTTCCTAACAGCAGTTCACCCCCAGTGCTGGCAGTCACCTGCTGCCTTCTGTCAAGTGGAAATGAAAAGTGGGTAGGGGTGTTCAGGCAAGGTAGAGCAGGAAGCACAGTGTACAGAAGCAGGGCTGGGGATTCTAGGAGGGAAATTGTGAGTGAGAGCTGTGGTTATGGAAACAGAACATTTAATTTCTGACTTGCTGCAGATCCACCATCCGCAATGCAAAGAGTATCCACAACAAGGGACGGAAGCAGATCAGCCAGGAAACCTACAGGAGGAACAGCAAGAAGTACATGCAGAACCGGAGGAACATGAGGGGCAATTTGCAGAACAAGGACATCATCTGTAAGTCTCAGCAGGGTCCTTGACCTAGACATGGACTGAAGTCCTGCAGGACTGCTGTTCTATGATTTTATGACATGGTTCATGCTCTCCAACACTGGTTGCTGGCAGCGTGGCATAAACAAATAGACTTGAGAATCTCTGTGCCACTCTGAAAGATGTAGGGGGAAGGAGGAAGCAAGTCTTCTTTTCTCTCAAACCCTTTGCACTTTGTGGCCCCAGGTGTGGGCTGCCCTTATAGGGCAGCATGGCCTCCGGCTCTGCCCTTTCACAGGAAGACCTGGAGGAGCACATGGAGGTGTGGGGTTGTGCAGAGCTCTGACCCATCTCTATGTGTGTTTCATCCACAGCTGAGAAAAATGAGCAAGAAGAGAACAAGTCAAAGGCTCAGCCTGCGGTTCCTCCCCGGCCCAGCAAAGACCTCATCATGAACCGCTGCACAGAGAGTACCAGGAGGAAGATCATGTGAGGCTCTCAGCCCCCAAACCCTGCAAGCAGATGCTTTATCTCTCGTGCGGAGTGCGAGCCAGGCTGAGGGTCTGCGTGCCTCCCAGAGCAGCTGTGAGCCCAAGCTCTGTGTTAACCCCCCAGCACCAAGGTGCCCCAAGGAGCAGTGTGAGCACTTCCACCAGCACCTCTGGGCTCAGCCTTCCCACAGCCCAGGTTTCTCATCACTAGCAGGTTCGCTTTTATCCCTTATTTGTATTCTGAATGATTTTTTTTTCTTCTGGTTTTTAACAGTTACCAGCATTGCGCTGAGAGTGCAGCCAGGGCTTCAATCACTGTGAGAAAAGCCTAAATAACGTGTACAAAAAGCAGTGTAGCATAAAGAGACACTTTATACGTGTGTTTCAACGCTTTCACGCTGTGTGTGGACAACTGATCAATAAACAAGATATCGATGCTGAACCAATTCGGTTAAATAGTGAAAGCTCTCTGGTGAAAGCTTTCTTTGCTCCCTCTAGTGGGATACTGGGGCTGGAGATGCAGGTGTGAGGAGTGAGCTGAGCCTCGGGCGGCCATGAAGTGAAGCGGCCGTGAGGTGAATTTGCTTGAGGGGAAGCGGCCATGGGGTGAGGAGGCCTTGAAGTGAGGTGGCCATGAGGAGGCAGCTATGATGTGAGGAGGCCATGAGGCTAAGCTGCCCCAGATGGCGGTGGGGTGTGAGATGCCGGCAGGGTATCTCAAAGGGCTGCAGGGCTCCGCATGGCCGTTCCTGCCCCCTTCGCAGCCTGAGTGTTGCCACGTCAGGTGGCCCTTGGCCGTCGCAGAGGGACCCAGCATGGTGGGGGGTGGCACTGCCACACAGCGGGGAGCAGAACACGAGGGTTATGTGAGGTGACACCGCAGCCGGCCCTGCTGCGGCGATGCCGGCAGAGTTTGGGCCAAGTTCTGGCTTTGGGTTTAGGTTGCGGTCTCTATTTGAGCGGGACCCACCCTCTGAGATGGCCGGCATTGCCGCTTTAAGACGAGGGGAGCGGAAGGAGCGCTCTGTACGGCACATGCGCACAGCGCCCGGCGGCGCAGGTGAGAGGTCGCCAAGATGGCGGCGCTGGCGGTGAGGCGGGCGCCGGGAGCAGCGGGGCTTTCGCCAATTCCGCGCCGCGGCCTGGCCAAACCCGCGGGGCCGCCGAGCGCCAGGCAGCTGCGGGAAGCCGATGAGGCCGCCCCGATCTTCCAGTACGTGGGGAAGGCGGCTAAGCGGAAGGATCGGGTTTTCGTGTGGGGTTTCTCCTACTCGGGCGCTCTGGGCGTGCCCAGCTTCGTGAAGCCGGACGCGGGCTGGAAGAAGCCGCGGCGGATCCAAGCGACGCCTTACCGACTGGAAACGGAGGAGAAGGTGGGCGGGGAGCCGGGCTATGGAGCTGGAGACTGGGAAGCTCCTTGTCAACGCGTCGTTCGCTGTGAGGGTGTCGAGACGGAGAGGCTTCGGGCTCCTCCGGGGGGATTTAGCACCACGCAGACGCTGTCCTGCGCCTCCTGCTGTGGGAACCGCTTTGTCAGTGCGTTGGGTTTGTGTTGTGAGGAGGCCGTGGGAGCGGGTGAGGAGGGGAGCGGCAGAGCTGTGAGGGGTCTGGAGCACAGGTGTGATGGCTGGGCTGGGTCAGCGTGGAGCAGGGAGCAGCGAGGTATTCTCTGAGCTTCCTCAAGTGCCTGAAAGGAGGTGTGAGGTGGGGGTCGGGCACCCGGGTAACTGCGAGAGGATGAGAGGTGATGGCTTTAAGTGGTGCTGAGGGAGGTTCAGCTTGGAGATCAGGAAATGTTTGTTCTCCGAAAGAGTGGCACAGCTGCACGGGGCAGTGGTGGAGTCACCGTCCCCAGAGGTGTTGCAGAGCTGCGGGGTTGTGGCTTGAGGGATCACAGAATCACACGGGTTGGAAGGGACCTCAAGGATCATGTAGTTCCAACCCCCCTGCCTAGCAGGGCCACCAAACAGGGATGTGGGGTTGGGTTGGTGGTTGGACTTGGTGATCTCAATGGTCTTTTCCAACCTTAACAATTCTGTGATTCATTTTTCTGTGCTTATTACTGAATGCTACTTTTTGTTTGTCTTCAAAGATAACCTCTGCTGCCTGTGGTTATGGATTCACGTTGCTGTCTTCTAACACCACTGACATCACCAAAGTGTGGGGCACGGGCCTGAACAAGGACTCCCAGCTTGGATTTCAGAGAAGCATAAGAGACAGAAGTAAGGATTGAGGTGTCGTAAAGCCTTACAGGGCAGCGCTGTGGGGTGCACACAATGAGCGAAACTTCAGATGAGAAGGTGTAGAAAATTTGCTGGAGGTTCTGATGCAGATCATAGGGCCGTACAAACATGTTTACATGTTTGTTTGGTTTTTGAACTTAGCTGTGTTTTTCCATGGTTTGTAAGTAGGTATGGAAGCCATTGATCTTTTCTAGGCACTGTTCCTGTATTCTTGCCTAAAAGATAACTAAAATGGAAGCACCTTTTTGTTGAGTCTGCAGACAGTATGATGGACCTGTTATTAAAATGATTTTGGCAAGATGGTTTGCTCCCTTCTGTTGTCCTTGCATCTGTAAAGTAATTTTCTTTCACATGGAGATTTTTTGACAAGGTCAGTGTTGGCTTTTTGTGACACTGTTGATTTATTTTATTTTCATACAAAATTGAATTTTGAAAGGAAAATGCATTATTCAAACATTTGGTCTTATACCAAACTCTCAAACACATGAAGAAGATTATCTCTGTGAGAAAGCTGTCACTTTCCACCTAAACCAGATATCAAAAACCATGAGCTTCTTTCCTTAAAAGGCATTTGTTTGAAAATATTCTTTAAACAATTAGGAAAAAATGCATTATAACCAGTTTTTCCTCTTCATAAACGGTAAGAGCATAATTCATCAAGGTATGACGTGTCTGTTATGGGCAAGAAATTAAACTTAATGGCAAACCAACAGAAAATAACTGCTGTTGTGGAGAATGCTGAAGTCTGTGCACTTAAACAGCAGCAGGAAAATGACAGCAGCCTCCACTCAGTTTTGCTTTTCAAGGTTTCAGCTCTTACTCTGCCTTATTTCTGTAACTGTTCAAGTCTCAGAAGTGTCCTCTCGTCTTCTAGGTTTGTTTGTTTTTTTTTTTTAATTTCATGCTGATTTTTCTTTTTGCTAAAGGGTCCAGAAAAAGGTTAAATAGTTCTGCAGTTCAAGCCCTTCTAAGTAAGGGAGTGCACACTGTTTTGTGGGAGCTGTTGAAAGTGATGTGCAGATCAGTGAGGATGCTTCTGCTCCACATTTAACTTTCCACTGACAAGTTTTCTGTTGGCTAAGCTGCTTGTTCCTTAGTTTTGCAGCCTAGCTTTGATAGCTGCTAATTCTAATGCTGTGTCCCCACAGAGCTGTTTCACAGGGAACCTAAACCTTCTGGTTTCCAGATGGCTGTATGTCATGCTGTAGAATCAGCTATTTCTAAGCTAAAGTTACATTTTTATCTTCACCCTATCCTGCCTTAGCCACCTTGTTTGTTTTCCTCTCATGTCCTTCAGATACCATCAGTGATGATAGTGAGTTCATTACACAGATCCCAGTAGGCTGAACTGGAAGGAACAGAGAGAAAAAGGGGTTTTGTTTTGTGACATCCATGTCTCTTTAGACAGATAGACTTAGACCGTAGGCTTTAGACCTGACTTAGAGCAGGTGTAGGTGTTCTTCTTCTAACTGAGGCAGTGAGAGCTAGTTAAAATGCTGCTACATGTGGGCAGAACACTGTATTGAGTCTTCTGGGATTTGCTTTCACCTGTTATAGTCTTTGATATCACAGCTTTTTCATCTCCCCTTAACCTTTTGCCTAGCACTTGTTATGTTCTGCTGTTCATTTTTTTCCCCAGTTGCCTGTAACTGATTACACATTCTTTAAGTTACTAAATCTTTTTCTAATACAGCCTGTCACTTTCCTTCTTGAGCCTTAGATCTCTCATCCCTTATGGAGCTGTGCTTGCTATTGTTTTTTTGCGTGCCATTTTCTGAAAGGGCCTTTATTGTACTTTAAATATGAAGCCCTAAGATTTTCTGTTTGCCTTTCATGCTGTCTTTTTGTGGTGTCTGCTATTGTACCTTGTTTGCAGTATCCCCATTTGTACAGAGTGCTTTAGTTTGAGCTTAGTGTTAGGCTTTCTAGTGATCCAGACGTACTCAACAAAATGATTGAGTGTGTGGCTGAAAGCCTCAGTTTCCCAGTTCTGGCCTCCTGGTACTTTATTAACTTTCACTGTCCATGTATGGTGGATTTTTGGCTAGGCAGTGATTCTTCAGGATGGCTTCAGCCATCCCTATTTCTTTTAATCTTTTTCTGCCAGTGATGAATACCACCCCCCTTTTTACTTTTCTTTAGCATCCTGGCTTTCAAAAATAAGTTTCCTTTTGTATTGACTAGGAATCTGTTTGTGTATGTACAGTATAATCAACAAATATACGATGAATTTCCTTCATAGAATCAACTGACTTTATTTCTCTCTCTTCCTTAAGCCAAAGGCTATGAATATGTCTTAGAACCATCTCCAATCCCATTACCTCTGGAGAAGCCACAGAAGACTCGAGTCCTGCAGGTGTCCTGTGGCAGAGCTCATTCCCTGATCCTGACAGACAGCGAAGGGGGTATGGTGTTGCTCATGCTGGTAACAAGGCTGACTGTGCTTTCATTGAAGACTTGAGAAAGATTGTCTGATGTCCTCTAGAACTAGATCCCAGGAGCACTGCCTGCGCTGTCAGTGTGATGCAGGTCTTTGTGGGATTGCTCCCAGGAAGCAGAGGCCTGAGCTGATAATCATGCTGTGCTCTGCGTGCTGTTTGGCTGAAGCTGTAAACGTGCTGGATGCTTTTTGACTGCAAGTATTGCAAAATACGGTTTGTTTACCTAGCCTCAAGCCTCCTTTAAGTGCAGGCTGTTTGTCTTGTTTGGGCAGATATGTTTTTGAATTCATTTTTGCATAGCTATGCCAATAGTTCTGTGTTACTTTCCCTGTGGAGCCCAAGTGCTGCATGTATAAAAGCAGTGAATGAGTCGGTCTCTGTGCAGAAGGTCTGCTGTGTGAATTGGCGTTCTGCCTCCGTGCTGACTCTCTGGAGCAGTGGCTTCAGTGCTGCTGATTGCCAGTGAGCTGCATGGTGGATGTGACACTCCTGTGGGAGCACTGATCTGTTCCTGAGTCTCCTTGGCAACGCCAGGCTGGGCTGTGCAATTACTGAAGGACAGCCAATGGGCTCCAGGTACTGCTGCAGCAACGCTCCTGGTTATTGTTGGCTGAAATGGATTCAGTCACTTGACTTTAAGAGGATTTGGCTGGGAGGAAGCTTCTGCCCAGTTTTCAAGTGCTGTGTTTAAACTATCATACTGAGGGCTTTACTAATATATCTTATGTACCTACAAAGAAGCTTTTGTGAGGTTGGGCAGCAACAAAACTGCTCTGTTTTATCATTGTTTTTCAGTCTTCACCATGGGAAACAATTCTTATGGACAGTGTGGTCGGAAAGTTGTTGAAGATGAAGTTTACAGGTGAGAATCCAAATGATTGGAACTTTGTTAACCTTAAAAGCATTGTTGCATGAAAAGAACCTTTCAGGAAAGCTTGTAGGTGGTATAAGGATACTGTTCTTAATCTTGAGCAGGCTTTTATGCTGCAGGCATCATGCAAAAGGCCTGACTGTAAAGCCAGGCTGGACACAAGCATTCTTCTTACCACATTCATAAAACAGGAAAAAAAAGTCAATATCTGACAATTTTCACAGGACACAGTGAGGAACAGCAGCCTTCATAAATAGCCTGAGTTGATCTGTATCAGTAGTCCTTGCTTCAGCCTTTCAGAGGGGATGTGTAAGTGGCTCTTCTGGGAGAGGGGAGGTCTTAGAAGTGCCATTTCATCACAAAAGAGTCATCCTTTTGTTGGACCTCTGTGCTGTGACAGCCTTTGAGGCTGGGCTCATTTCCTTGACGGTGTGTTTATGGGCCACCAAATGC